AGATATCACTGCTGTTTCCACAGCTTTTCGGATATCATTCCATGCTGCCTGGGGGTGGGCATCACATACATGGCTGCCTCACTGTTTTTCTAGTTGTTCCTGAAATATACTCTTAGCTTGACTATCATTAAGTAGGCCCCTAAGAGGTTTCCTTGCAGCGTCTTTCCTACGTCCAGTAAGACGCAAGCAAATACGCGCTCGCACTAGAGCATGATCTGAATCTAAGCATGTGCTCCAGAATGAGCGACAGTCTTCTATCGAGCCCCTCAATCGGTGGCTGATAGCGATGTGATCTATTTGGGTCCAACGTTGGGACGAATTAGGGGGTCGCCATGTTAAAAGATGTTTTTCCTTATGCTTAAAGTTAGTATTTGCAAGGAACAGGCGGTTATCTGAGCATAGCTGCAACAGACGGTCGCCATTATCTGTTCTTTGAGCCACGACACCATAGATCCACCTAGGTGTCTTTCTCTTTCGCTTAGTTTACCTACTTGAGCATTAAAGTCACCGGCCACTATTACTACATCCGAGCGCTTAGCTTTTCGGAGAAGGTCCGAAAGCTTTCTGTAAAACTCATCTTTTACATCATCTGAGCTGCAGTCAGTGGGAGAATAGGCAGAGACGACGAAGAGGCAACGACGAGTGTCCCTATCTTTCCGGATTCTTACTGTTCCGTTCAGTCGGACAGCGCACAAACGACTGTTACTGGGATCCACTCTAAGAGAGCTAGTTCTGCCCTAGGACTCAATGCTATACCTACGCCGGCGAGGCCACGGGAAGCAGAATAAGGTTTTCCAGATACACGAAGTGTGAATCGAGTCGGTTCTTTATTTTGGCATGGTGAGGTCAGATGAATGACGGTACTCGGATCCTGTATGCGCGTTTCGGATACGCAGCACACATCGATAGCGCGGGATTTTAAAGTCCTAGCTAAGGAAGCCTGTTGTCCTATTTGACACAGTGTTCGTACGTTAAAAGCTCCTACGTGTAGTTTAGAGCGTGGTTTCAGGAGACCAGGAATAGCGTTCCGCGTACTCGAATCGTTTGTCCTAGCGGTGCGAGATGATAAAGGGACGTGAGAAGGGTTAGTCATGGAGATAAGAGAGGTATTAGGAGGTGTAGGAACGATTTGAATGTGCACCAACTTGGTTTCGTGTGCTGTTACGGGTATGAGGGCTGACATCACTTCCCGGCTGCCCACACCGTGGAAGGGTATTTCTTGAGGAACCTGAAAAGGAAATTGGATTAGTGTTGGTCTTAACGACCTGGGAGCGTGACCGCAGAGCCCAAGGGACAACTGCTTGAGGCCGGTCGCGCACGGCCTTTTCGTGGAAGGTTTTTAATATGTTAGCTCCGCTCTTCAAATGGCCTTACCGCCGGAGACGGAAATCCGTGAGGTAAGGTGAGGTGTGACATTTTTAGCGTCAACCTTTTCTAACCCCATCCCTCCTTGTTGGAAGGCAGCATCGCTGCAGATGCTGGTTGTCTGAGGGAAACACCTTACTGCTGTCACACCTCTCTACAGTCAGCAGTACGACTTCGCCCTCAGACCTTGAGTTGCTGCTTTTAGTCTTACCGTTCTCCAATCGACCTGCCTTGCATGGTAGAACCTACAGGAACATATGTTCCAGACAATATAGCTCGGTTGGGTCATTGCGAGAGGCAAGCCCAACCACCAACTTGTCAGTTCAACGTATCCTGAGAAACAATTCGAACAGTTTAGTAACTTTTGAATTTTTAATTGAACATAATAAATGATGAAAGTAATCATTGGTTAATTCACTGAAGGTTTCATGTTGTTTTCAAATGAAGAGGTAATTGTAAATTTGTATTTAAAAGTTGATGATAAACTATTTATCAAGTTAGGTTTACCGTCCCATTCTAGTCGGTAGTATCAATAAAAAATTTATTTATGTATTTTAACTATCTAATTCCCATAAAATTCGGAACAACTGGGCACCAAAAATAGTACGTTCCACAAAATATAAACAAAAAGTGTTATAAAAATTGAGGGAGAGAAGCGAAATACATGAATAAAAAAGATTGGTATATAGTGACTAATAAAATTTTATTAAAACTATAATCAAAAAAGATTTATTTTAATTACGGAATCTTATTTCATTTTTGTGAAGAATGTAAGAAACAACTACAGTATGATCATCAATGTCTTCTATTCTAACCTATGTTTGATGACATCTCAAGTTTCCGATTTGTACCATCTATGGGAAATCAACCAGAAAGTGATAATGGACCAACAGACACCAGTACTAAACAGCATTTTTCCATACCACGGTACCATGTTATAAACTGACCACTTTTCCGTTTTCTTCAATCAGTCCCGATATTATCAAATAATTAGCATTGTGAAAGTCGGTTCGATGAAGTTCGTAAAACATGTTGAAGCCATCGACATCGGTGACTCAGGATGATGTTTAACTAAATTATCATCATTTCTACTGAACATACGTTGCTGATACTAAGAGTTAATAATATGACATCTCCACTGGATGTTATAAAACGATGACCAGATACCACAAGAATATAACAGGAGTTCTCTCACTGACGCGTTACAGACCAAAAGTTTAGCAGTCACTGGTTCAAAATTATATGAAATTTTACAGTCAGGCTAACATCACGACCATAACAAAGATGACCCTATACGTAGGGTAATTTCATCTGTCACGCCACAACCAGTACTTACACAACTACGCAGATACACGAACTTGATTCTTACGTATCTTTGACGAGCTTGTTGCCCCGTTTAACGTATTTTATAATAATATGAACTTTGAATAAGTAACATAAACCTAATTCTATAATGAAATATGAATTTCTTAATCACTATACTGATGTTATCAGTTAATGACTAGTTGTAATCACGAAGTTGAATTATTTATTGTTAGACATTTAAAAATTCCATATTCTTACTTGGTATTTAATAGTATATTATATGAATACACTAGTCTTCAAGACGATTACAAATGAAATGAAGTTATTATTATAATATTATTAAGTATAATGTAATCATTAATTTATACTTAAAATGATGCAGCTACCGTTAGTTATGTTCTCGTTATTTTAAGATTGTATTAGATAAACAGTTTAAAAGTTTTCTGAAGGTTATATTTACACGTAAACGTTTTTTTTTTAAAAAAATACTAACTAGCGTATCACACGTAATATGGCAGCCTGTTAATTTCGTTTTGTTTATCAGATAAAGTACATAAATATCATAAGACAGTAGTAGTAATAGTAGTACATTTTTATTTGTAAACAGATCAGGAATCAAGTAAAAGATGTTAGAAATAACGGTCAAAAAGTGTTTCAATGTAATAAATTTCTAAGATTATGTTCGCGAGAATTTGAGAATGAAATTTACATTTGACTGTCGTAATGGATCAAAAAGCAACTCTTAATTGTCAAGTAGAATACGATCGGTTTTATAAGCTTTTTAAAAAAACGACAAATACTTGACTGTCCTGAAAATTGATTTTTAATAATTTCGCTTTTATTACCAATAAATAAGCATCTGGCTTGTTTCTTTAATTTCGTAAAGTTTATAGTGTTTAGGAAACGTCAACATCTACCAGAAGTTATCAGTTACGAATATTATTTTAAGTCTCTCATTAACAAATTCGCTTAATCACCTTCCTAACGAGTTTTAATCCACTAGGAAATTATTATCTATTCCGCCAACTATAAGTTTATTTAGGTTAAATCCAGTAGTATGTTAACCACGTTTAAAGTAGGTAAGCAACAATGTAACTTCAGATATTCTTGAAACTAGAAAGAAATTTGTTACACAATGATATGGTTATAAAAGTAAATACATAAATGATATGAAGACAACCGTTCATCCATATGATGCATACATAGGTAAAATGGCTAACTTATGCTTTATGAAGAATTATGCATGATTGTATTCGTAAGGCTTTGGTATTATTACGTTATTAATATTCATGAGTGATCAGAGGGATTGATAAGGCTTTTCTGTGCCAGGCTATAATATATTCAAATTGTGGCTAACAGTTCAATTCGAGACGTGAATTTATTCCTTTGTATCATGGGTTAGCTGAATGGATGTGTATCCAGCTGTTGAAACTCTCAATGAGCCTCCAATTTCGTACATATTTCAATAAAAACTAACGTTATACACTAAGCTACTGAGTCCAGATGTCAATAATGGGATGATAAAAACTCTTGAGAAAATGTATTCTTCCTATTGAAAAAATCATCTGGACATCATCATCAAAATCCTTTCTTAATCAAACTTCATAATGAAACTTGAATGTTTAAATGAGCGTACCTTTCTAAACGTTTACGTTGATATAGTGTTTAATAGTTTTATAAAACTGCAAATAAACTGGTAATTGTCTTCAGATCTTCTGTAAATATCAACTTCTTTACAGAAATTATCATGAATAAATATATTATTGATACATTTCAGCTAGAAACTAATTCGTCTTTAAAAAAAAGAACATGGTATTTTGATGAATCTCATCTAGTCATCTTAACTGAAATCTGAAGACATAATTTTGACTGAATTCACAAGTAACAATGTCATATCCTACAAAGCTAAAGATAATTTCAAACCCAACCAATTTTTACCCACGACTAAGTTTTTATAAAATCTATTTAGAAATGACAGACAACTAACAAATGAAATTTAGATGACAGGAAAAGACATATATATATATATATATAGGAATTCTAAAGGAGAAATATATAGTAGTATGTAAAACAGAAGATCATTGTGTATTTTGATTAGTTATGATAAATAAATAGTTGGAATATGAAAAAAATATTTTCTAAATTAATAAATCATCATGTTCCTCAAGTTGATTATGATTGTGGGTGTTTTTTTTTAAAGTGACAAATGAGTTAATAAACTAAATAAGTAGTAAATAACTTAGGGGAAATCACAAACAGATCAATAATTTAATCTTTTGCACAGGTAAACAAAATACATTGTCTATATATATATATATATATATATATATATATATATATATATATATATATTGGGTAGGACATGTGAAAGGGTTAGTATAGGAATATCAATTAGGGAATAAGACAAAATAAAATGACTAGACTACAGACATGGATTATTGATAGAGATCTCTATTGAATAAGCAGTACATTATAAGTTTTCTTATCTTCTTATTATTCATTAATTATTTTTATACAAAATATGCAATATTTTATGTTAAAAAGTCAAGATTTTAACTTTATTAATGATAATTGTAAAAAAAACAATATAAATGAGAAAATGAATTGTGATTAGCATGCTATTCTATGTTGTATTTACATTTAGAAAAGAAAAGAAATGAAAATAGGCTGAAAATAAATCATGTAATGACAAGAGATTTCATTGAATAGCTATTGTATAATTAAAAAATAGTGGTTAAATCAATGAGGAAATATATAAATCAGACAAATAACTTTATGAATTGTAATATTCTTATATAATGTTTTAAACATTTCTATGCATACATGATGTATACAAACAACACAAGCACACATATATGTAAAAATTACATATACAAGCATACTAGATTACGTAGTCAATTTAAGTGATACATCATAAGAAATGGTAGATTTGAAAGCAATGTAACAGGAAATAAATGGAAAAGAGAAGGATAGATTTAGGTAGACAGTTTAAGAAAAAGATTGTCATTTTGCTGACTATTACCATCGTTATCGCCATCTTCACCATCATCATTACGATTACTAATTAATGGTGTCATCATTAATGATGTTAGTGGTGATGATAAACCAGTAGGTTCTAGTTCTGGATTATCACTACTCATATGCTGAGGTCGTGGCATAGAAAAAAGTAAACGAGTTGCTTCACTTAGTGTTTTCTGTTGTGATTAAAAATAAAAAGATAAAAAGGACATGATAATTATTTATAGGGTTTACATAATAAATTGTTCAAAAATAAACGATAATTAAGAACCTAAAAGTCTCTTGAAAAGCACGCGTTTATGACCCAAAAGATCTTTATGTTTCACCTTCTACCTGATTTTGATTTGTACAATAAATGAAAACGATCCATTAAAAGAGCTATCCACAAAATCTAATAAAGTAAAAATGAAGCTGCACTTATACATTTGAAGTTTACTATAAGTACATTCGTGCATGGAAAGTTGAACGTATATCACATTCAAAAGCGTTTGTTCTGATATTATATGCCTGTAATTTTTACTATTGTGATATACAGACACAGAAATATTTGTAACCTTCAGAGTTAATTTACTCGTAATATAAATCAAAATGTTTGGATTTATCAGTCAGCGACCTATGGTTTTAAGTATGAATTAACTCAACCCAATAACCGAAAAGCGAATAGGCTTTAAGATATATCGCACATATCACAACTATTTATATTTCCCTTTAATTCAGATTGCAGTAAGTGCAATGAGTTTTGAAAACGGGGTAATATTGACTTAAAGTTGAGCTCAACCAGTAAACTAACGCTTGATACGCGAAAAGTGTATTCCATATAGTAATTTTAAAAGCAAGTAGATATCATTGGCTGTAATTTTGATATGAAAATGTTTAGAAGAAAAATCAGTTAGCCATGACATTCCAGACATGTAGTTTAAAAATTTATAGGTGAATGATATGCACAGTGTACACTAAACTATTTTTCATAACCTTCCATTAGATTGAAGTTTTCGAAAAGAGATTTTAATCATAACATATTTATCAAGAGCGAATGCATGAGAAACCAGTTCCCGTTATACTAGATTTGCACATGTTCATTAAAAACTATAGAACGAGCTAATGATCCTTGCTGATCAATAATAGATGTAAAGAAATAAAATGTTCAAATCAATTGAAGTACTCCATAAATAATTGGTTAGAAATGGTAATTAATTAACTTAACAGGTTTTATACATTGATATATTGTATCAGAATGGGTTTTGTGGAGTTTTTTTTAGAAATTTCATAGGTTGAAATCATGAGGACGAAACGGCCGTTCAGTGCTTCCAGGTTTTCCATGGTGGTCTAGCTTCAATCGACTCATGATTTCAACTTATGAAATCTCTGATATATTGTAATGGAGATTATGCCTATCAATTGTAATACCATTGTTTGAAACAGAAAAAATTATAATACAAAAAGTATGATGTAATCTAACCTGAGCTGATTTTGTCCGTTGAAAACCAGTTGGTTTTTCACCATATTCATTAGAAGTCTGAACAAAACTATTTGATAATTGAGAACCAACATTTTGACTATTTGATAAACCTATTTGTTTAATGAATAATATGAAGTCAAATAAATAATGAATAAGGACTTTTTTTGTTGGGAAAAAACTATTGTATCAAATTACTCAATAAATAACAAAAAGGGAAATAAAATTAAAATAGAATGTGACAAGGGAGGGGTGTGTATATATTTTCCACATTTATTTCAAGAATTATGAGCAACATTGAACAATAATGATGGATGCGCGGTTTCTTAAGCTTAGATAATACACTGAATGTTACTAATAATAATAATATTATTAATAAAAATGATAATAATAATAATAATAATAATAATTCTATCTTATTACATCCTTGTGATGTTTTTAATCATTTTCAATTTAACTATTCGTTATCATTACCTTCATTTTTTTAAAATTTACTCTTTACACTTCACATACTTCTCAAGTGGATAGTACATTTGATTTCATCTTATTATTCCTTTCCAACATCTTTCGGTTAGTAAACATATTTATTTGACAAATAATATGATGTAAACGTCTTATTTTTACAACGGACTAGTTTTATTTGTTATTTAACTATACATACGATTGTACAGCTTGAGTATATAGGGTTGTCGAAAAGAAAAATCTTCACTGAATTGTCTTTGTTTCCTCATTATTAAATATACAATCAGAAGAATTGGTAATAATTATTGACTAATGACATAGAAATTTATCCTGCCAAAAATCCTGATTTATTTTGTTACAGTATCTTAAATAATTAACCAGAGTAAGATAAGGCTGCCTATTCTCCTACTTTCTCATACTTCTGGTGGTTCACTGGATCAGGAAGACTTCCACATCTCACAGGAAGCATGGAATAAAATGGACAGGTTGGATGCAACTATACGATTTGGACATCGCAGATGACCCAGCTTTCTTATCCCATACACACCAACAAATGCAGGTCAAGATAATATAGCAGCGGTTTCTGCATCAGTAGGCCTCACATACACAAAGGAACGAGCAAGATCCTGAAATACAATGGGCGGAACAGCAATCCAAACACACTTGATGGAGAAGCCCCTGAAGATGTGGAATGTTTCGTGTAGCTGGTCAGCAGCATCATCGATCAACATGGAGGATCTGATGGAAAAGTAAAGACGAGGATTGCAAAAGCAAGGACTGCATTCCTACAATTGAAGAACATATGGAACTCAAAACAACTTTCAACCAATATCCAAGTCACAACCTTCAATACGAACGTCAAGACAGTTCTAGTGTACGTAGATCAAACGTGGAGAACTACTACAACCATCATCAAAATAGCACAATTATTTATAAACAATTGTCCACGCAAGATACTCAATGTCCGTTGGTTGGATACCATCAGGAAAAGCCTACTGTGGGAGAGGATAGACCAGCTTCCATCTGAAGAGGAAATTACGAAAAACGTTGGAGGTAGATAGAACATACGTTGCGGAAATCACCAAACTGTATCACAAAGCAAGTGCTAACTTAGAATCCTGAAGGGAAACGGAAAAGAGGAATGCCAAGAAATACACTGGGTCGGGAATTGAAAACAGACATGAAAAGGATGAATAGCAGCTTGAAAGGATTGCTCAGTATAGAGTTGAATGCTGGTAAGCGGCCTATGCAACTCCATAAAGCGTAACAGGCGTAAGTAATCTTAAGTTATTCCACTTGATAGCCCACATTATGCTTTTTTAGTTTTGTTAGGGAGTGTTTTTGATTGAGATCATGAACCAATTGATGTTAGACCACCATTAAAAACCTGGGAGAAGTGGACGATCGTTCCGTCCTATTGTGGACTCTTCAGCAGTGCGCACCCACGATCGCGCTCGCGGGATTCGAACCCAAGGCCTTCAGTCATGCGCGCGAACGCTTGAACTTTAGACCACTGAGTCGGCATGCGACGGTGATAATGTCTAACTTCAATTGATCCATAATCGCGCGCGGTGCTGAAGGTTCTGGGTTCAAGTCCAGAATGCAGTATCCTGGATGAGCACTGCTGGGGAGTCCCATGCTAGGACAAGGTGGACGTCCAGTGCTTCCAGGTTTTCAGTGGTGGTCTAGCTTAGATCAACTCATGAATTCGACTGTTAAGATTACTTCAATCGCTACAAATCCCCATTCTGATAGTTAATAATCTTTTAATGTAGTTATAATTTTAATGTAAATTAGTGATAATTTCTAGATAAAGGCAGGTAGATTCTCTTCAAACACTAATCCTGCTTGATAAGATGAAGTTGTAGAGTAAATAACCGATATATGTAGACACATATCGACGAAGACATACTTTGCATAACAATTAACTTTATAATGTTTTATCTACATAAAACTAGAAGAAAAAACAAACTAGAAACTGCATGAAAATGATTTTGCACACAGAAAAATCCGTAACACTTATAGGAATACTTATAACATTGACTATTACACCAGAGCAGTTTAAGCGCTCCCTAAAAGGTTTGATACATGTTTATATGCGTTATGTTAAGCGAACAGCTAGTAATATGGATAATATGTACAAATTAGGTTTTATAGTCAATTAATTAAAACGACAAATAAATTTTAAATTGAAGTTTGTTAAAAGGTATAAAGAGAAATAATTCTGATTTGTTATTGAATGCATGATTTTAAATCTAATTTTCATATGATATATAGTGGTTAGAATTAAAGAGCAAAATAGTTTCATTTTCAAATACACATAATTAATATTTATTTAACTAACCTGTCGGAATATCAATACAAATTCCTTCTGATTCATTTTTTCTCATATCTCTACGACTATCTAAGCTGTCATTAGGATAATGTGAGCAAGGCAAATCAAGTGAATTTTTACGACTAAAATGTTCATCTGATGTAGACTCTATAAGAGATTTCAACCATTTTACAATAGGTTCCCATTTTTCTGGATAATTTGATAAGTATTTTAATACAGCAGTATTCTGAGTTGATAATTCAACAATGAATTTGGTATATTGATAAGCACGTCGAGGATCTCGAGTATAGTCTGTATGAATTAAATCTATAGAAGAACGAAAAAAACTGATTTTTAAGAGAGTAAATTATAAACATTTCACTTTGGATCATCAATGTATATATATATATATATATATATATATAATGAGATATCTCACGTTGATTGCTAGTGAATCTTAGAAAAACTAATTACACTTATAAGCTAAGTGTTGTTGATCAATACAAAACAAAATCCTACAAATGATTCCTAGGATTAACTTTTATTACAACCAAATACATAACAAATAGATAAGTGGGAAAAGAGGTTGAAAATAGAATAACGTGTACAACATATATTAAGAATATTTAAATAAATATTTAGGGAATCATCGGTGTTTTTAGTATGATATAAAGAGGCATAAATATTAGGATAGATCAATTTATCTAATGAATGCTATATTTGAAAAAAAAACTGTCTCATAGTGACAGTTTACCAAGAAATAGGAAAATTCTGCAAAACGAAATAAATAATGAGATTAGGTAGAATTATTGAAGAGATAGGACAAAAATACATTCACTGTAAACGCAATCATTTTTCGTGGCTTAAAGCCTAATTTTGTTCAAAAGTAAACAATAATAACTGGTTGGTCAGATTAAAGTAGGCGGAGCTGAAATCAAACCTAACATCTAATAGTCGAAAGGTGAGTATTTTAAAAATTACATAGATAACCAAGGAGGATCGTCAAAGAGGGATAGACATGTGAAAACAAGTATGTCAACACTGAATTCGAAACATAGGAATTCGTAACGTCGACAACATGAAAAGTACTAAACGGGATATTCCATGTCGCACAATTAAAGAATGAAAAAAGTCTTTTTTTATGTGCCATAACCAGACATTTATCAATGCATCATTTTTAATGGATATCTATTTAATTGAGAGGTTATTCCCATTACGAGGAAATGCTACTGGTGATTAGTGACTAATAATCATAGATTACATATAGTTTGCCATTTCTGTCATCTGTAAATGGGTGTATTTAACAACAAATGTTACAGTTATGCAAAAAAACGTTAGTGTAAATAAATCTTATGATTTATATATGAACGATTTTGTGGCGATAATTTTCACTGAATACCAGTCTAATAACAAGGATATCGCAATCGGTTTAAAAATTGAGGATACCCGACACGAGCGTTTTCGGAGTCGTGCGTGTTTAATGCTGCAGTGTCTTATATTTAAGAAATGCATCTAGTCAGTGACTTTGATTTTTAATGGTTACTTAGTAGATATTATTCCATGAGTGGAATTAAATCCAAATAATATTCATTTTTCAGTTATTTTCTGTTATAAACCCAAGATATGGGTTTTTGGTAAAATAATTTCCTATCAAAACACATGTCCTACCCATATTTCACCATACAATCCATTCAGGTGTAATCACATGGTATTGTATTGTTCCAATAACAGTGCAACTTAAAATTGTAAAAATCTTTAAAAAAAATGTTTTAAACTAGGCTATACACTGCAGTATATATCTTGTATCATTGATAACTAAACTACTTATAATTCAATAATGATTGACAATCAAATCAAACTATGCACATTCTCAATGATCACTACGACGAACGAACCAAACTAGCATTCACTGAAAGGTATTCATAGTTGTCAGAGAATTAAACAAGTAAATAGAATGAACATTTAAACGGAATAGGCTATATATATATATATAGATACCGTATTCTATTTTTATATAACCACATTAAAAAAATTCTTTGGTGTTTTCTCGTTGGTTTTTAAATCCAAAAATGATATTATATGTATTTTGAAAGGACAAAAACATTTTTTTCTAAAAAAGAAAGTTAGTGGACGAAAAAGAAACAAGAACAAAGAAACCGAAATAAATTATAGAGACTAACGCCTACTCTGAAAAATAATAACTAGTTAGCTAGAATGGAGACAGGTTAGACAAAAATTTATATGATAGCTAAATCAAATTACTAACCATATATTGGGAATTGTAAACTTTCCAGAAGTGATTTAGAATTATGTAACTTATTATTGCTTGAGGTCGTAAGTAATATGGGTCATGTATGATAACAGGTAGCATATTACATTCAATCTTCATTACTATTTAGTTCTTAAATCATAACATTACTTCATACTTTTTCGCATTGATAAATTACATTATCGAACTGTACTCAGTGTTTTCAGAGTTTTACTTTCAATTAGGACTATTGTACCGAACGTAAACAAAAGTAGAAACAACTAAATGTATTTTAATGCAACATTATAGAATGTCATGGTAAAATCTGAGAACCAAATAGTAAATACTTCATTTGCAAATTATTCATCAATTGTTTCAGACTTTTTTGTTCCTTCGTTTCCATACTAATCCATCTCTGTTCTCGTTCTTTTCTCTTCGATTTTTTCAACCTTCTGCCGTTATTCATCACACTTTCGGTTGATGATCCATACTAATTATATCAGTAGCACACACTACACTATTATTTTAACTATACAGATTTGTTCATTTTCCTAATATTCTATTATTATGATGAGAAGGATATGTATCAATTCAAAGTGATATTAGATTCGGGTTAAATTATGTGTTATATATTACTGTCAATTGATTGACATCAAAATTCATGTCCTGATTATATTTTTTAAAAAAAATACAAACTCTAAACTGTGTACCATGAAAAAAATTGACTGAATTTTATAGAAAAATAATAATTTTATCATAAGCATAAGCATTTAAATTACTAACAATTTATTTCATCATTTACATGATCCACATAAATTTGATCATAAATTGTTTCAATGAAATTTAGAACTATTGAATATAATTATGCTTAAATATGATATTTTAGAGAAAAAAAATTGACTAGACAAAAGTTGAAAATAAATCTAGAGGCTTCATTCATTTGATACGATGATAGAATAAACAGAAAAAGACTCTGATACCCTGGATTCAATTATGTTGCAATAAACAGATAGTTTCACTGATTGTAGAATTAAAAGACATTGATTTATCCCGCTGTTTTATAAAAATAGTAACTCAACATTCAATGTATTATTAACATATAGGTGCTTAAAATCAAGTTCACATTGAATAAATTAGAAAGAAACCAGGTATTGAGTAAGTAATATTCATTGTTAAAACTTTATACTTTCCAATAAGTTGAAAAACGAGAAAAGAAGTTTTTACTGACATTAAGTTATTTCCATATTTTTATGAATATAAGCCTGTGGAACGAACATTCTTGTTAAGTTACTATGGCTACCAATCATACATCATGTATATTAACAACAGTCTGATAAAGTTTGAAATTTTACTAAACGTGAATTAAAAGCAACGATGGATATCTGTAAAAGCTTACTACGTTTAATACGTTTATATTCATTAAGAATCGATTTACAGTACAACAGAAACTTTATCATAATGTTTCCAAAACGAAGAAGAGTGAAGAAAGGGATAATAGTTCAGAAAATAGAACCAAATATCAAACTTGCTGTAGCATTGTGAAAAAAAACACAAACTGTTAGTCAAAAATATTACATATTTTGATGACAAAAACATATATTTTATCACTAAATGGAGACATAAAGCTCTTTTAAAACTTTGAAAATGACAGAACATTGTAATGACTAAAGTGGATAAAAGAGATGTAACAGTGATTATGCACAGAGTTGATTATGATATGAAGGACTTGAACACTTATTCAATGTATCACATTTACTTAGTGAACAAAAGAAATCTGCTGAAATCAAACGGATGAAACTCAATAAAAATAGATCTCTTCAAGAACTGGAAATTCAAAATAAGGAGCTACTTTTGGTTTAGACTAACACCAAAATCTTATATATCCCCAAGATACTACGGTCAAACGGAGATACACAAACCTTCCATTCCGCTAAGACCGGTGGTGGAATTGACTAATTCATCAACATACAATCTCTCCAAAAACACACACAACAAATAATTACGGGTTCATTTGACCTAAGATTTATAAAGGCAAACTATTGATTTGACGAAAGTGAAACTATGGTAAGACATTCACTTGGTGGTATTGGTTTACTTGAATCTTCCCACTGATATTTAGGACTGAAATTGATCAGTCCCGATGCGTCCCAAACAGGACGAAACGCGCGTCCTGGATTCCACTGCTAGCCACTATCCATCTTTGCTTATGGTAAGACATGTTATTAACTAATTATATACAAGCATTCCTACTATCAAAAGTATTGATATCATTTTGTAGTGTAAGAGTGAGATAAGACTCTCTGAGAAAGATTCCCAATGAGTAAAAATCGGACAACATTTTCTGTAAATCAACCAAGAAATTCGACAGAGCTTCAAAACTTTGGATGTTCTTTAGCCATAGATCTAGACATTACAATATTAGGCCACAAAATTGACTTTGATAATACCGAAATTATTTAGAAAGACTTTTAAGATCACAAAGAATATCTTATAACAAAAATGATTTACATAAAATGGAATTCGTGTTGTTTGAATAAAAATGAGGGGTGGAGAAAAACTTTTGCCTGATTTCAACACCACACTTCTGCAAACTAACACTGTCAACACAAACGTGACAATAAAAATTCTTCATAGAAACATGGTTTTTTTTACAATTCAAACTATTATCAAATGTAACAATCTACATCTATCTGTTATTATCAATTTATTTACTCGACATCACAGAATTAGTTTATTCAGAAGAACTTTGAATGAGTTATCAAACATGTGCTAAGATTCTCATAAATTCTAGTTTATCGTTACTTTGATAAAATTGTCAACACTTGAACAGCGAAATATCAATAAAAACTATTTTTAGTTTTTCTGTCACTCGTTAGAAAACACAAATTTCTAATAATAATGAATACTGTCAACATTTTATTATTCTAATGAATGGAATACTGAAAAGTCTGTAAAAGTTAGAAAATGTAAAGAAAACTAACATGTTACTAAGAAATCTGTGAATGAAATAACTGATTTTTAACACTTACCCAAAAGGCCAAGAACTTCAGGAGGTCCGTATTTATTGATATTCTGATTAACATCATTATTACCTATATTCTCGGATTGAATTATATTATTTTTCATTTCTGCTTCATTCCATGCCCATAATTGTCGATTTCCGTTAGGACGTGGTGCCCAAATCCATTTATTATCATTCTTATTTAGATGAATTTTCTGATCAACTAATCCATCAATAACTGCTATAATTCTAGCTGGTTGAATACAATCAGTAAGACGTAAAAGTTCACTGAGCAAATCAAAATATTGTCTGAGTTCACATTGTGGTCGACTGTGAATACGATCAAGTAACTTGAAAAATAAAATAATAACAATAGTTATAAAACACAACATAAATTACATACAAGAACATATAATAATTACCTTATAATTTATTAATACAAAATCGTCTTCTTAAAAATGTAGAACAAATGAATTTTTGCAAAATATTTTTTTGTCACTTACAGATATAATAAAACATTGAGATGTATCCCATGAACTTGCTGATATATGTAACATTAATTCACGAATACGTTGTCTAAGTGATATTGGCTCATTTCCTATAACAATGGATAATTCATTTGAATTAACTCTTGTTGAACTTAACGAACCACCAGTTAAATTGACTGTAGTCAAATTATTACAAGTAGTAAAATTTGGATTACCTTGTTCATCAAGACTAAATGAAGTTAAATTTGGTATAATAGGATTTTCTATATATGCTTTTAAAACAATTTCACACAATCTATATAATCCAACTAGTTGAGTAGAATAATAATTGACTTTATTAGATATTGTATTTGTTGTTGTATTATCTGTTTGAATATTTGAAATAACTGGTTTGATAACAGGATTTAATAATAAGGGTGGAGTAGATAGACCAAGCCAAAGTGTTGTTTCTTTTTGTGGTCGAAGTAATAAACGACTTTGTGATGTTTGACGGTATACTAATGGTGCACGTGTTGTACTACCACTGTCATGAGGATCTAAAATATACGAAAATAATAACAATAATAGTAATAATAATAATAATCGTTAAAGTTCATAACATATTATACTAAAGAAATAAATTCTAAAATCAAATAAAACAACAGGACGAATAGTACGAAAGTTGAAGCTGTTTTTCGAAATATTATTATCATTAGTATCGCTTATGTTCCTATTGTATAAATAACCAAGTAACTGAATTAGTATGTCTACATATTCCGTTTATCATCAACTCTCGTTTGACTCATCACCTATTACTGAACTGCTTATTATTAATATTTCATTGCTAATCGATCATTCCAAGCTTGCCCTGTTAATAGCTATGGTGGTTTTATTATGTATAATTGGGGTTTTTTATTTCATGGTATGATGTGGTCCAGTATGTTTGTAATCAAGCCCATGTATGCTTCAAATATAATAGTACCAGAAGCTGGCTAGCGACTGCTATCTGGACTCAAAGTGAGAGATCGAGAAAAGTGTATGGATAGCGAACTAACAGGAACATAGCTTACATTGGCTCAAGGACAACTGGGCGGGTCAGAAGTGTGACTGGTCAAGTCTAGGAAGCAAGAATATTAACGAAATAGTAAATGGGAGATAAAAAAAATTAAGATCGAAATTCCGATATAAAATTTCTCGGCAACAAAAATGCTAACTCATTTAGATTTTATCAACAATAACACTATATTATTATCAGAATGTGTTTTGTGGAGATTTTTAGAAATTTTCCCAGATTGAACTCATGAGTCAGTTGAAGCTAGACCACCATTGAAAACCTGGAAGCATTAACACCGTTGGATGCCGGCTCAGTGGTCTAATGGTTAAGTGCTCGCGCGCGAAACCAGTTGGTCCTGGGTTCGAGCCCCGGGTGGTGCGGGGTCGTGGATGCGCACTGCTGAGGAGTCCCATACTAGGACGAAACGGCCGTCCAGTGCTTCCAGGTTTTTAATGGTGGTCTAGCTTCAACTGACTCATGAGTTCAATCTGGGAAAATAACATCATATGATGGTCCAATAAAATAATAATTCTGAGGTAATTTTCATTTGAAACTGATATTACAAATTCGAGAAAACCTTATTAGCTAAGTAGTGGCGAACAGATTCATGTCTTTATAGGTTCAAAATCTTTTGGGGAGGACGAAAATTGAAGATGGTGGAGAACATTTATCGCTCAGGTGGATGACTTTGGTGTTGTTTTGGCTAACCAAGATTGAGGCCGACAGGACAAGTTGTGAGTCCTCTGTGGAGAAACTAGAACATTTCACTTTTACCTGAAGTTTGTGCTGATGATGTCGTTCAGAAGAACGATGAAAACTCCACGACCAAACCATGCAGCTTAGAGAACAAAACTCCACCAAGAACGAGAATTATAAGTTTCTATTGTAATCCAATGATCGACATTTCATATTTCAATCAGATTACATTGATAAATTGAATAAGATTGTTGATCAAATAAATCTAATTAATAACCGAAGCTAAATTAAGGTAATGTAGGAAGGAAAGTAATCATTACATAACTGATAATTTATCAAACTTTTGACGAATGGTTGTGTAAAATGACATGACATGGCATATAGTCAAATTGGAGAAAGTATCAAACAACTTGCTCATATGTATACGAAAAGAATACATTTAAGCTGTACAGTTTCAGACTATAGAAGATGTGCGTATTAGTCTGGAGACGTCCAGCCATTAAAATAGTTTAAATAGGTTCATTTGAAGTTTATTGTTAACAAGTTTTACTCAAATGGTTATTGCCCATGCAATTCTACGGATTCGAACTCTGAACAATTTTTGCGATTGCTTTAAACAACATACACTATTAAAAAGAATAACTGCTTTTTGGTTTATGGTTCGACTAAACTTGGTACTCCACGACAGAACTGTTCTCCCTGTTAACTATACTCTCACTTAGACTAACAAAAAATCATGTCATTTGCTACGCGGAAGTTGAATTATTGACTACAACAAAAAACAGGTTAGAACAATTATATTGTTGCCTCGAAATAAACACTGGAGTTCGTAAACCAACAGTCGTAGTTTTCTTGTATTTAACGTCATATGAATGATTGGCTAACAATTCAGTATCAAAGCTTGTTTTTTAAAAGCAGGTTTGTTAGTTTGCGCATTTAGTTTGTGAATAAATTTAAATTAAAAACGTGTTAACAAATGACTGGAAAGAATATTCTCCGTTCATGTTGGGGACGATAGATCCCTAAAACTCAAATTTTGTAATTTACTTATCGATTAAATGTGCAGATAGGTCAATTGATGAACTATCGATTAAATGTTCAAATAGCAGTCAATTGTTGATTAATGTTCAAAAATCTTCCATGACAATATCGATTGTAAATATTTGTATAAATACGCTTGATTTGTGTGCTTGACTTGACTTGGTATCCGCTGTTTGCCTGTAGAATACACTTTCTACACCTTACCAGACTTTTTGATCGAGTCAGCAGAGTTGAGGACAACGGACCAGAATAGCCTATCGAGATTCTGAATCCTTGATCCGATCGATAAGTCACTGTCATATAATCGGATGTCCCTTTGAGACATAACATTTCAGTAATTTATATATGTATAGGTTTGCAGTTATCGAAAATGAAAATTTTTCTAGTAAAGTATGTCTACTTTAGAGTTCCATACTTATAACCTTATTATTTTTCTGAACCTTATAAACTGAAGGGAGAGACTATGTGTAGTCCACCTAGCATGTATAAAAACTGAGAATGAATACCCACAAATAACAATCAACAATAGTCATATCATGCCACAAATAGAATAAAAATATACTGGTTCTTCCTGGTGTTATGTTTATGTATAACAATCGGAAAGGCTTAAAATATGAATGACAATACTATTTTTTGATCCTCAACAAATATTTAACTGATACAAATGAGAAATGAAGATAATTCGTTAACATTTTTTTGGCAACATATTTATAGGAAAAACGTATGAAGAAAAATATAGCACACTGAAAGAGAAGAAAACAATGTTTTCAAAACTATGGAAGGTAATTTCTTCTTTGCTTACAGACGAAAATATGTGAACAAAGTAATCAATAAGAATGTGCATGTAAAAAAACGCGTACCTGAAAATCTATATGCATCAAACGATGTTTGAAGTAGTAAAATAGTAAGAAGGTGATATAGATTACCCATCTCTCTATGCTGGATCGGACTCCATACACGTAACTGGTGAGACTAAATCAAAAGTATAAAATTTAGAATATGCAGCAAATCAGTAGTATGGTTGATGGCTAGAATAAAATAAACATTTTATTTGTTCTTAAGGTAAAAAAAGACGAGTAATCAAAAATGTATCATTATTATTGCCAAGCCATTTCAATTCATTTATCAGGTACAGGTCAATGTGTTTAACTTCGAGTAATAACGGGGTTTAAATCTATAAATTAGAGGATGAAGGTCGAACGACTTAATCATTCAGACACTGCTCCAGGGGAAATGATAAGCATTATTATTCTAACTATTACCACTAGCCAACCAGTTGTTTGAAAATAAAGTAACGTGTAAACAGAAATGATAAAAATGATAATCATCGTAATTCAGTTATTCAGATGGAATATAATATCTATTAATCACTACATGTTATTGTAAATTGTAAAAACCATATAACTAAATAAACTTGTTAGATGGTCATAAATTTATTTGGGTTATTTAAAAAAGCATTATGAAACCAAAATAACAAGTAAAATATCGGTTAATTAAGAATATCCCGTTTCAAAATAAGGTGAAAAAGTGAATTACTGACTCTAGTGATTTTAAGATTATTGTCAACACGAGTTGAAATAGAGCATTGATTTACCGAAAATTAAGGAGTACGAAATAGCTGTCTCATACTGATGTGTGGCTTCGCATTATTCATATATATAACACGAGAACGATCCTAGGAAATTCAGGCCTCGCAGTGAACACGATACTATTGGATTATTGAGTTATAGTTCAATGGTCAGGATTTGCCAATTTTAATCCAATCTAGAGAATATGCAATGATATAAACGAGTAATCAATTACATAACTTCTGACATGGTTGACTTCCTAACAAAGAGGGAAAATTTACCCCAGTACATTTTTAGTTTACAGCAATTTCACAGGGTAGTTTCAGTTCGTGTCTAGAGTGATTTTGAAAGTATTTCTTTTACGAACAAATTTTTCAAACTAACATACATTCAACGCGTGGGGAATACAAAAGATGACAGGTGAATAAACACAGTAAATATGCAACTTTAAAAAAAATTCGCCGATTGTAAAGGAAAACGAAAAGCTATTATTATCATATAAGAAATATTAAGCTTCTTTTAAACGGAAAACATTCAGAATAAAGCTTGTATGACTAAGTTTAATATACTAAAATATAGTTAATGATTAAAGGTTGGAAGAAAGTATGGGAATGTGTTGTGTCGAATACTGTTTGTTACATTAGACTACATATGGTTTGGTGTTTGGGTGAATATAAAGGTAACCATAGAGGTGTTAAAACAAGAGTAGTTAAAAATACACAAGACTATCAAAACGGAAAACATAACTAACAGACACGACAGTAAAAGATGGTGAAGGCAATTCTACGCTTGCTTAAACTTTCGTGGTATTGCTATAAATTCGGAGGAAAATCAGTAATTATTTCTTAATAATTGAATACACTACTTACAAATCGATATCAATATGTTTTTCAAGTATTTTAGTCAAATAAACTAAATGATACTAACTTATGTAGTGAAATTATTTTGGAAAATTATATTCTCTTATATAGTTGTCAGTTTCAAAAGAGTGAAACAGCTGAAGGATAGGCAATCAAACATTCGCTGGCCAGTACAGAGTTCATTTAAACAATAAATCCACTCTTTAAAGATTCACTACAATTCGTCAAAGTTTGCTTTACTCAGATAAACCAAAACTTACGCAGTCATCGGAATCAGTCAGTCTTAAGTAACAAAGATCCTGGTACATATGTAGATTGCTTATATTTGCCATACTATTCAATCGAGAAAGTAACTTCAATATAGAACTGAGTGACTCATATTCAGTAGATACGTTTAAGTATCATGTTCATCGGAACTTTAACTGATAACAATAATTACCTACACAGTAATCTGTCAGTAGTATAACCCGTTGTATTGGGCAGAATAATAGAAAAAATAATATTCTTTCTTCATTAATTAAAACCTACCCAATTTGGTGCATCTTCAGTAAAAGATGTACAACAAGCAGGTTGTTGATTAGAGTCAGATGAATTGACATTATTTGGTTCAATGAAAAAGTTTAATATTCGTTTGGTTGCTCGTAAATTAGATAAGTGTACCGTGGCATGCGGACACATTTCTGCATAACCACGAAGTAAACCGAATAATGCACCAGCTTCTGTTAAATGTTCAGCTATTTGACCATTATCGAATAAACCAAGTAGATTGTTAATCAATCCAGTTAATGTACCATCAAGCTATAAAGGATAAAATATACACCAAGGAAAAGAAACAAGTAATTTTCTGTCAATCAATACTAAGTAATGTGAAACCTGGACCAAATGTAAATTTGGTAGTGTAATGAGATACAAACCAAATATTTTAATAATTATCAATGAAATCATTGTTAAAATATACACCAGACAAGTAGTAATTATAATGGTTTAATTTGACTTCGAATATCTATACAATAAAATCGACAAATACATCAAATTTAATCAAACTTTCACTGTTCCATGTAAGAAACAATAATTATTAAAACCAACTACTTGAACAAGTTCCAGTAAGGAAACCTTGTTTTCAGACAGAAAACGTACCAGATCAGGTCAATAAAGTTAGATTTTCTAGGAAAATCTATGAATTAACTTCCAATTAATATTTGATAAAAGCATAAATTCAAGTCTAGGAAGATAAACACGTTAAATAATTTATTTAATGAATGTGTTGTGTGAAGTGAATCACTAACATACGTCAACGTTGTTCCGATGGTTTAGTAACTGTAAAAAAGCCATGATTAATGATACTGATCTTGCAGATCTGGGGGTTTGACCGAGGAGATCAAGGGACAACTTCATGAGATCAATGACACAAAGTCTTTTGCATGAAGTATTTGTAATGGAAAATCCATACTTTTCTAAAATTATCACAGTTCCCGAAAATCTATCAAATAAGGGTATGTTACATATAGTGTTGACATTTCGTGAACTGTTATTTTGTCTGTGAGAATGAAATATTGGTGGAAATTGTAGTTATTTGCGAGAAAAATCGAACCGCAGGCACTTCACTGCAAAACTATCAATGTGAATTCGCCCTTCGGTTTACTGTTACCCAAAAAATCTGCCTGATCTTTTAGGACCTCAGAGGACAAAATTTTCATCCTCTATAACTCGATTTGGCCATCATGATTAACAACTACGAATACCATATCAAGTTAACCGTTATGATAAGCAAAGTGCACTTTAATGTTTGACTTCATATGTTGGTCATGTTAGCAGTGGTTAGAAAGAAACTTCAAACTTTTTAAGACCAGGAGCGGCATCGATTCCTCAAAGTAACAAACCAACACACAAAACCATCCAGATCTGAACGAAATTCATAAGGTAATTTACGAATCAGTGGTCGACTATGTAATGTTGTAACAATAATGATAAGGTTTCATTAGGATAAGGAAATGATTGTCTTTCCACAGATTTAACTAGATGATGATTAAAATTACTCTATTTGTAAGTGTTCATGTTTATTGTATTTCCATTTTGATTGTTGTGTTATTTTCAAGTTTAACCATTCACAGCAACGTTGATCTAATTATATTTGTTTGTTCATTTAAGGTACATATGAATAAATTAGACAACGTGAGTATATTTTAACGGGGGTGAGATAAAGCGGTGAATATAAGAGGGTCACAAATGCCGTATGATATTTTTCGCTCAATTTTCTTACTACATCCGGGAATTCATGTTTTCTATCTTTTACAAAGATACTTTCTAAAGTCAAAGTACATTACTATCACATTCCTCAATGCTGATAGTCAAGTTGTATAGAGAAAGAATATCAAAACTCTGTAAGGACTTTCATAGTGAAATAAAAATTAATAATAATATTCACAGCCAATGAAGATTAAAAGGTTGTCGGATTGACAAGACGATTTCAGGGAATGACCGATCAATAATTATTTTACTGAAAATAGGTCACTCATGCTTGACTCTAATTTACCAAATGACAGAAAAACAAAATATGTTCGAACTGGGAAATTAAAAATAAACCAATCTCTTGAAAGGGGAAAGCAACATGTCACCTGCTAAATTTGTTTTCATAATGAGCGCTTCAAATTTTTGGAACTATAGACCGTGATATTTATCGAGAAATAGTATTACAGTACACTTATAAACTTCGTTATATCCAACGCCAGAGATCAAATCTTGTACATACATCAACACATTATAAAATCTTACAATGTTTGTTTCTTTAAAACCATAGAATCCTTGTAACACAGCGAGAATCATATTTGCAGTTTGTTGACGTGCTACTGGATCGGGATCCAAAAGCATTGAAACTCTGTAAACATTACATAAAAAGAAAGCGATTTGCACCACGTAAACTTTCATATAACGAGCAATGGCTTTAAATAGCCCAGAAAAAATGTTGTAACAAGTGTTTGAAACGTAGGATTAATTATCATGGCACATTTTGGACTAATATATCTTGGTAACATGAAAATCATTTGTCTACTCCTGCATTGTGTTTCGGAGTGATTATTCAGTATGCTTTATGTATCTTAAGATAATGATATCCATTATATGTGAAAACGTGCTATTGTTAGTGCTATGTTATCGACTTATTGATTCAATATTCATACTTTCTTTGAATGGGATGGAGTAGTACATTTTCTATGTTCTTAATTGCTTCTAATGCTACAGTTCAAAGCATAAATTATTTTACTTACAATCGACTGATCACTGGATAGGGACTAATGTGATGTCCGTCAAGTCCTTCTTAGGGCTGATAGAATTTTACCGGTCAATTTCGAATCTGGCCACTAGTTTAAGTGGCTCGACAACGTGGGAACTGTGTTGAGATGCAAGGTGGTGGTCGAAAGTAATCGACAGGAAACCCTGTCTAAATTCACAAGCATCATAAGCAAAGATGGATATTGGCTAGCAGTGGAATTCAGGAGGACGTTTCGTCTTATTTGGGACTCGGCAGATGGGTGTACATATGCACGTATGCTAATAATAGAATGATCAATTGCAGTCGTAAACATCCATGTGAAGATTCAAGTAAACAATACCAAGTGAATTTTAACTTCACCTCATTGCACAAGCTAGTGAATATCAGGACTCAGTAACCAAGTGGATAACATGATGGTATTTGGAACGGACAGTACTGGGTTCGATTCCCAGAGTGAATATCAACTCTGAGATGCAGGTACATCCAGCTGACGTGTCCCAAATAGGGTGAAGCATCCGTCCTGGATTCCACTGCTAGTCACTACCCATCTTTGCTTAGATATTGCAATGTGTTTTAATTCGAATTTCATTTGTGCTACATAGAAAAGTATTTTTGTCTAACTTTCCTGTAATGTGACATAAAATATGTAATAAAAGACTTCTTATTCTCGAAAGTAACAAAAAAGAGGAGAATTTGAGCCAATGATACATCATAACTATTTTTGAGTTAAACAAATTAACTCACCTGTGAAACGTTTTTAAAGAGAAAAAAAACATAAAGACCTTAAATACACAAATATATACATACAATTCTATTTAATACGTACATCTAAAGCACCAATGAAACAAATTATTCTTTAAAGGTGACTTACAAACATGGTTGACTTGGACTGATATACAGAAAATGCATCAAACAACGTGTTGCACTAGGATGTGTTGTAGCTAAACGAGTTAATAAGTTAAGTAAATCAGAATTTAATTTTGTTATCAGTTCTGTCACATCGCTTGTACATAAACTATTTAATGATGATTCATTTGATTTTAATGCCATATTGAGTTTAACACGAGAATGAAGGCATAGAAAAGTATTAAATAAGAAATGCGATAGTAATTTTGTACCAAGTACTCCACGTTCAGGTTCTTGACGTAAACTGCTGACATCAACCTGTAGATGGGAAAAAAACCAAACATACAATATTTAGTTAACTAGGATTATGTAACAAGTGACATTCTCTTCATTGAATCATAGAAAAATAATGTAGTCAGTAGTAATTAACTTGGAGATTTCCATAGGTTTATTGACTATCAACAACGTGAATTTCTAGCAACATTCTGTTGATTAGTGTAGGGTTTGAGTAAATTAATGAGATTTTGTAAAGCATAATTAATTTTATTATATACTAAGAAACTTGATAATAAGATTATTTCACTGATTATGAGACTGTTGGGGACGATAAATCCCCTAAACTCGTGTTTTTTTAATTTTATCTTATCGATTAAATGTTTAAATATTTGTATGGGGGTCGATTAAATGTTTGAATGGCAGTCAATTGATGAACTTATCGATTAAATGTGAAAATAGGTCAATTGATGAACTATCGATTAAATGTTAAATAACGGTCAATTGATGAACTTATTGACTAATGTTTAAAAATTTTCCATGACAATATCGATTGTAAATATTTGTATAAATACGCTTGATTTGTGTGCTTGACCTAACTTGGTATCTGCTGTTTGCCTGTAGAATACACTTTCTACGCCTCACCCAGACTTCTTGATCGAGTTAGCTGAGTCGGGGACAACGAACCAGAATAGCTATCGAGTCTCTGAATCATTGATCCTTCGTTCCGTTCGAGTAGACGAATCAGTAGTGGCATTCACGTTTAACGAATCATAACAGAAACTGTGGTGTAGACTATGAAATATGGTGTAAACCACTATGGTGTTTTGAATTTCAAAACAGATAAATCAAAGCTATTACAGAAATATTTCGAACTTAGGCCTTGCGCATATAAGAATTTGGGCTGATACCGAATTTTATGGACACTCTTAAGTAACATTTTAGATATTCGGAGAGCCAGTAAAATAAATGAATAATTTATCAGAGATAAATAAAAAATTAAAAGTACATATGTTTTACATGATTAATAAACTTATTAAAGTTTGTAATAGGTTAGCCAGTTTCAAAATCAAAGTAAGTGCGATACAAAAACTCGTAAATATGACTTCAGTTCATTTTATTTTAAGACCGTTTCTAAGTTCAAAGACAGTTCCATCCAAACCAAACATTATTAGTGCGTAGATGCTATAAGGTCGAGGAATTAATGCCTAATGATGATTCGATGGTTATCATCTCCAATATCCTTATAAATGATAGCCCCTCGAAGAAATTTTTGCAATGGTTAAGTCACAGTTCAAGACGAACCTTGAAACATTTAGTTTTTTGCTTCGATGAATAACTGACTATTGAGTGAAATAATTATAATATATTTAGATTACGGAATTTATTTTCACAAAATCAAGTTTTCTAATTGCTCGAGAACTCTAAACATAAGCGGTAGATTTAATTCTGCTAAAGTATACAAAAATTGAATCTCAGCAATCTAAATAAAGAAAAAAACTTACCAATATACCTTCACATAGTTCTCGTACAAATTCAAAATATTCATGAGAGTAAATGTTTTGATCACGTAAAAATGTCATATTTTCTGTCCATATTTGTTGAGCAATCCGTGTAGGCATTGAAATGGACTTCATGATATTAGGAATCATAGTAGTTTTAGTTCCTGTAGTGGTTGTTGTCACGTTAGTAGTCACCACTGAGCTTTGTTCATTTAGGTTGGTTGATGAGTTACGAACTACTCCTGAATGATTAATATTAATTAATTGTGAATTAGATTTTAATAACATGCGGAAAAAATATAGAGATTATTCATTTATGCGTAACTATTCACTCAATGACTTAGACTACACTCAAAAGAAGAAAAACAATCAAGATTTTTGCCATACGAGTGTGTGGAAAAATAAAAATGATTATCATAAAAATTTATTCGCTTAGTAATACTACTCCAGCATTTGGCTACATTTACACAATTTTTATTTCTGTGAAATATGATATTCTAGGAGCTACCAATGTAAAAGTAAATTATATTATTATCAACATGTATATACATGTAATATACACGTTTATAGAATTATAAGTAATTGTATTAAAGTTATCATCATAACAATGAATGGAAATTTTGAAAACTATACAAAAGAAACCTTAAAGTGTTTGATGAGTTAGAAACGAGGTGCCAAATTCATTAAGGTGTCCAGAGTCCCTATGTGAGTGCAGTAGATTGAACGGGAGGTGAATTTTGGATGTAATATAGAAAGGTAGCTAACTTGAAATGGATATTACTTTCTTACCACTTTAAGTAGGTAGTAAGTAACTAACGTGAAGTGGATAAGGTTTATATATTCTATAGTTGTTTGCGAATCACGTTATATATACATATATATAATATTAATACTACTATACCCTTGGATTCTCGATACAACACAACATCCATCACCGATTCAGTGGTAAAAATTTATCATGTATGATTAAAGTAACTAATTAAGTCATTGAGTAAAAAATAAAAAGGCTTCAGCAAAGAAAATTTTCTTCTCGATGAAATCCTTTACTTATGCTGTATATTCGTATTTATAGTTGTTTTATAAATATATAAGTCTTTAGATAGCAAAAATTACGGTTCGCGATTTCAAATATCAAATGAGGTTACGTAATAATCAAGGGGTTAGAGAAGAATAAGAAAACGAAAATAATTTACAGGTCAGAATTATGAGGGATAATTTTCCACTTGACACATATGAAGAAAAATGAAAAACATGAAGGTCATAACAACAATTAAATCATAATTATAGTAAACTATGAAAACATTGATTATACTTTAAAATGATCAACTAATAATAAAAACGAAACAAGACTAAAACATATTGGAGAATGGAATTAAGGTCAATAAAGGATGAATATATGGTTTTTCTACTCAGGCTTGAGTTGCTGAATCACTAACACCTCAGTAGTGCATAGGTTTTTGATTCGGCCTCCTTTTGATCCAGTTCCTTTCACTGCGTAGATTATTTCCAAGAAAGATTCCTTTGGAGCAATGTGTCCAAAGTTGAACAATTGCTTCTGAATTAAGCTGGTTATAGTTTTGCATTCTTCTTATAAAAGCCAAACTGAGGCGCTGGTCATCCACCAATTCAAGCTTGAAATCTGCGTACGAAAACGATACATTCGTCATTTGCACTAATTCCATTCTGCAGTATGTTTCAGTTTTGTTTTGAATTTGTATATATGATTTAGATCATTTATTAGTCACTATCAATATCTAAGAGCCAAAGCGTTCCATAAGAGTATGAATGATCTTATAGAAATACAAATGCAACAGATACGTTATGAAAAGAACATTTAATCAGCGTATATCACTCAATGAGTGATGAAATGTTAATACTTTCTAGTGTTTCGTCATTCAACGACAAAAAAAAATCCTTCTTAAAAAAAGAAATAGCAACTTGCCTTCTTTACCACATTCAACAATCAATTGAAAATCAGGTTGATCTTTGCTGGTTGTTATATTTTCCGTTTCTAGCGGTTTACTCACTGTAGAAGAAGACGAAGAATTCATACTGACTCGTTCATAAAACAAAAGATATGCACTCCAGTATCTGGTTCGAGTTTCAACAGTTCGTCCTGAATTTTTAACAACCAGAATTCAATTTATGTAAAAAAACCATAATAATAAGTATATATCATCCATAAAGTGATATATATATATATATATATATATATATATATATATATATATATATATAGTAATTAACATTATTATTATGTCTTCTATTATTATCTTGTTGTGGGAACTTAGACTAGCTAAATTCTGTTTCATCCACTTTAAAAGCATCTTTCCACTCATCAATGATCTCCACTCGCTCAAGTCTTTAACTTGCTTAAACTTTTCAAATCTTGAGCAGCTATTACGTAGTCTATCTAATTGATTTATTGCCTCACCCGAAATGATGTCAAAATCATAATGAAGGTGAGTGAGCTTTTATCCAGAGTTCGGAAATTGATAGGATATATGCTACTGATAATCTTTTCATTCCACTTTTTCAAACACCACTGTCTGTTATTTTATATTACGTCATACAAATAAAGTTGTAGGCGAATGAATAGAAACCAAGAAGCAAAATCAAAATTGTTCGAATTGTTGTTCTGGCTTTATTCAGATTCATAAACAGAATTATATGAAATTATTTGTCATATTCGACAGGTTTTACAATAATAACGGTCTTTAGAGACTTCATCTTTAGTATTATTATTTCTATGTCTAGCTATGTTCATTTAGATGTTTAGTGACAATATTATGTTAGTTGGATGCGTTTGGTTAGTTAATTAGCCAGTTATCAAGTCTGATTTACATTTATACATTTAGCTGTAAACATATTTAGAAATAAATATAAAAAAATGTCTGAATTGTTAAGCTTTCATGATCATATGGTTTTGCCTAGAACAGTTAAGATACCACAAGGGTGTTTTCCAAAATTTCATCTGTAAATTCAGTTAAGCAATAGTGTGAAAAGAATTCTTGTTTTATAAGCAGAGAGAGATGGTGGCTAGCGATGGAATACAGAGTACATTTCGTTCTATCTCGGATTCCTCAGCCGAATGTACATGCATCCCAGGGTTGATGTTCACTCTGGGACTCCAACCTAATACCATTCGTTTCAAACGCCATCGCGTTATCCATTTAGCTACCAAGTCCAGATAACCTCTGGCTTGTGCAATGGGGTAAAGTTTATTTCACTTATATGGTTTGCTTGAATCTTCCCATTGATATTTAGGACTGCAATTGATCAGTCTCTCATTGACATATGTACATACTGTGAGAAATGCGAGTCCCGAATTCCACAGATAGTTACCATCCATGAAATGCTTGTGAATCTAAGCAATATCAGGGTAATCCGCACTGGATGCACATAAACCGATAATATACTTACGAATTGCGGTCCTAAACATCAATAAGATCCAAACTACCAATACAAATAAATTCTTTAGAAAAATTATCATTGATATGATTCATTAGGCTGGATTTGATTTTAAACCCACTGAAGCCCAAAACAAGAATGTCCGAAAATATATGCAAATGAAAATAGATTCTCGATTGTGGCAGACAGCAGTAACTGGGAGATGATTGGTTGCTTAGATATTGAGATGGATAGGAATTTTCATGTATTTTGTGGAGAAACTGCTTGATTATTAAATCACATTATTTTCAATCATCAATTTGTAAATTTGGACTCTGGTTCATCTACATTTTAACTTTAAACAACTGATACTAATTATTAGCTCTGATCCAAATAGTACAATTTAAATTCGAGTAGACGAATCAGAATTTCGTTACTGAATGTTATTATCTTTTTGTGTAAACATTGATCAACATATCTTGATTGTAAATTCATTCTATTATCTCTACCGAAGCCATGGTGTCGGACACTGCTGAATGATTAAAAATAAGTAGCCTTTAAATATATTTCAAAACCATATTTTCGGTATACATATGTATATACGTCTAAAATACTAACCCAAAAATTTTATTATTTATTTAGGCACATAAATATTGGCACAAGGAGGCACCAAACAGATATGTCCCACATAAATCATTTGATTTGTGTGAGGGCTGGAATACTGCCCGGATGCCCAAACGGAAGCAGGTGGTTTCCTTAGGGAGTCACATCCCGAGGTCTAATCCACAAGGCAATGGAGCAACGTAAGGAGATGCAGCCCCATGAACTCTACTTTCGGTTTTCTCGTCGCTCAATTCAATTCTAATGGGTCTCCTTAGTATGACTTTTCTGCGTCCAGTGAGGCGCAAGCACATGCGTGCCCGTATCAGAGCATGTTGGGAGTTCAAGCAGGTATTCCAGAACGAGCGACAATCTTCTATCGACCCTCTCCAACGATGACTGATGGCAATATAGTCTATTTGAGTCCATTGTTGGTTTGGTGCAGCGGGTCGCCATGTTTGACGATGTCTCTCATGATGCTTAAAATTTGTGTTTGCTAAAAATAAACGATTGTCTGAGCACAGTTGCAGCAGACGATCACTATTATCTGTTCGCTGAACCGGAATACTAAAATACTCACCTTAATGTCTTTCTGAGTGGTTCAGAAAATTCAGAAAGCTTTCTGTAAAAGTCATCGTAACCAATAATTGGAAACTCTGGGTGACATAATTCAGAATCGACCACAATGGCATTTCGTGTATACACTATTTGTCCTCCCCTAAAATATGAGATTAAAATCACTTCATATCTTTCTTTCTTCTTGTACTATATCCTTATAAGCAATTTTTCTTTTATACATTACCACCATTGAATTAATTACTTCTTTGAATCCGGTGTTCGTCTTACTGTGCTAATAAGGAATGGCAACTTCGACCGATGCATATATGTGCCTGGTCCTACGTTGTAGCTGATTGACTGAGACGGTGACCAACAATAGGTTCATACATTATTATTTCCTTTATGACGCTGGAGCCTATGTGCACCATTGGTTTGAAATCAGGGTTTTCCAACTCCCGTAAAAGGATCCTCCATATTCACCAATTCGGTTAAAGCGCCGGACATTCACTTTTCGTCCACTCAATTTCGTAAGCAACATCCATGCTGCGAAAATGCAGTGAGTAGGATTTCCTTGACAGTGGTTGTATGCACGTGGTCTTGTGAGAGAATTTCGAGAGGGAGAGCTGACTCTCCTCACTTTCGACCGTACCAGGGCAATAAAAGTAAACATGTATGACTTCGTTAACCGGATAAAGTGTTCTCATGTTACGATTCTTCTTTCCATTAACCGAATAATAATAATAATAATAATAATAATAATAATAATAATGAAATTTCAAAAACACTAAACAATAAAAAGTTAAATTTTACAAAACAAACCGTCATTTCCAGTAACTTTATAGGTTCCACCAAAACATTCATGTTCAAGTAAATCATCCGTTAATTCAATAGGTTCAACATATGTATCATTAAATCGATACCAATGTTCTGTATCTTGTATTTCATGATCAGTAATAAGATGTTTATTTCTATTGTTATTAATATCACTATTATTAGTTGTAGTATTATTTGTATTTATTTGCCCGTTATCTACTTCATTTTTGATTTCAGATATAGTTTCTAAGTTAGATTTTGTAACATTTTGTACAAATTCATCAGAATGTTGATCTATCACTGATGAACTGAATAATTGTTCAGTGTTTTGATAAGCGTTCATTGAGTTGAATTGATGACTTAATTATGGAAGAAAAACAATTGACGACAATTAAAACTGTTGACTATTAATTAAGTATCATTAAGACAAAGATGCTGGTGGGCAGCCTGTGCTCCACCACGAGGATAAATAGGCTCAATTAAGTAAGCAATTCATTGTGGACTGATAATGCGAATAATTAATTACTCGAGACTATAACACTAGGAGTAACGAGACAACATTGAGAGCATCGATGTCCTTATAAATGTAAACATTTGCCTTGTTGATAAAGATTAGGAAGCATAAAATATTAAGTCAAAATCTATCGTCTAATGGTAGTCTACAGCCACTTTACATCAAATAAAGTGAACCATAATGTCAATTCACTTAAACTGGTAGATATTGTGCAAAATGAATGATAGAATCTGATTAGCATCAAAACAGAATAAATAACAAAGAATTCATTACTCTTCGATGAATAAACAGTGTGTGCAAATCAAAGTATGTTCACTGCAATGTTTACACGTTCTTTTCGCTTTAATGACTGGTTATAGGCGTGTATATTTATTAATGTTCCTAAACCGCATTTATTACACTTCCAGATAAACAATAACTACTCAATTTAGCTGAAAGGCACTTTAAAATTGCATTTAAAAAAAGCATTGTTAACCTAATAATTTCTCGGAAAGAAATTCAAATTTCAGCTTAGTAGGTCAATTATATCACTGTTGTCATGACATATGAATTCAATGAGCGACTCGCAATCTGAGCTCGCCAGCGTCGACCAACTTTTGACGGTTTTCCTAACTAGATATGTTTGTGTGGATAATTACACGAGAGAAATTCCTGAAGATTATTGTCAATTATCTTTACAACTCATTAGAATAGGGAGTGATTCAATCAACAGACGTGGAATTAGCAGTAAACCAAAAAAGTCCGTTTGCAATTATTAAATGAAATGTTGAATCGCTAATGAAAATTTAAATATTCAGATATACTTTTTAATTAGGATCTATAAGTTAGCGGTGTCGTAAAGACCTAATGATTGAAGTGTTACGCTAAGCATGGTGCATTAATAAATCCTCATACCCCAATTCTGCCACAACTTTAGGTAATTTAGCTTGTAACTTGTTCACTTAGTTTGTATGGAGAATAAAATTTGAGCTGAAATTGCAGGACGTAAAAAAATTGAATTTCTACGCCCTTGAACTGCCATTTTATTTAAGTTAAATTTTGTCTAAGAGCGGAATCTAATACATATGTTTCGTTGCATTTGGAACTCGTTAGCTGAATGTACTCAGGTGTTGATGTTCACACTGAGACATTAACCTAATACGTTTTGTTTCAAACGTCAACGGGCTGTCTTCTAACCTACTATATACAAAAAAGTTCAAAAAGTGAGTTGTGGATTCCACTGTAAGCCAAAATAGGACTCCTATAAAAATTTGTGGGTGAATGGCGATACCAAGGTAACCCAAGCATAAGCTAATACAGAATTATCAATTGTAGTCATTAAGACAAAAACGGAGAAATAAAAACCCTCATGTGTTAAATTGGTGTAGTTTTATGCTAATTGATAATCTCATGTTTGAATTCATAGTCTAGATGTTAAAATTAAATTTATTATAGTTTTAAACGAACATATTTACAATATTCTACACAAATAAATTGAATACTTCAGAAAAATATTTAGTTCTACAGTTATACATTGAAAATGTTAATATTTGAATTCCAGGGAATATATTTGTAATAAATTTCTCATTTCCTCACAGACATAAATAAATACATATCTACATGCAATCAAAAAGAACACACAAACTAACCCTTTGCAATGACGACGATCCTTAATAAATGAATAATAATGACCAGAGTTGGCCTGTCCAGAATGAACAACAATACCGATAAGTTTGTATAAATTCTCATGCTTTTTTTGATTATCCAATGTTGACGATAAAGATATATTTAAAGTTGATGTATTAGTTAATGTATTACTTGGGTTCATATTCGTCAATTCATCAGTATTATCATCAGTTGTCATATTAGTTGTATTGATTATTTTATCAGAGTCATCATATAATTGATCGGTTGAATATGTTGGTGATGATAGTGGAGAATTGGAAAATGTTACAGGATTCTCTACATTGACAATTTCATCAGTTGTGTTTAATTCAGTGAAATCAGTTATATCGTTCTAAAATCAAGTAAAAATTAAATCAATAAATAACATATACAGCATATTATACAATTTGTATAGACAGATATAAAAGTACAGACAAATATCACACTGTAATTTCTGTTTTCATTTAGACATTAGAATCGGATGTAAAACATTGATGAAGTACTAAACTAATTTATAGGAAATCTCATTCCTATTACAAATCAACAGGTGATAAGTAGATTAGAGACAAATTCATTAGATAACGCAAAACATTCCTAGATTTAAAGGTTTACAACACTCACAATGTAAATTGCTTAATCAATCGAATTGATTTTCAAACACTAAACAAATTAGAACAACACATAGAAGCGAGCAAAGGTGTTTTCAGTTAGATCATCATCAGGTTTCATTTTAATATACATAGATATTTATATGAAAAATTTTTAAGCTAGTCAAGGCAATGATCACAATGAAATAGATCGAATAACTACATATAACAGGTAAAGAGTACTAATTGAAATTATAAAGATAGGTGTGATAGTGTGGTGCATGCTGCTCGTGCAGATGGATATAAGTAGAAAGTCTGTCAGAAAAAGACTGAATTGAAGAGAATAGAAAGGGAAACACAAAGCAATTGTAATGACAACAGAATTGGAAGGATCGTGGAGCATGTAGAAGACAACTGATGGAAGACATGAAAATAATGTATTTATTGTATGATTCTCATATATTACAAGGGCACTCAGTAATTAGGCATTAAATAATGAAATCAGTTTACCTACACCTGATTTTTTTTCACTACAGTATTACTGGTAGTAGTGATAAGATTTCTAATTAATAGACTTGAGATGAATATTCATAATACATAAACGCAATTTACAACATCGTAATTTTTTTTTTAATGTTACCCCATCTTAAAACTTTGTCCATCCCGTTTAGTCCGATAAAATGAATAGATTTTAGATATGTTATTGGTTACTATCTTTTGAAAAGTAATATGAAAAGTAATGAAATCTTCGATAATCACCTCTTCTCTAAACTCTGAACATAAAAAATTACCTTCCACTAGCTACATGGTCTGACAGTCTTAAGTGATGAATGTAAGTTTATCAATTTCATAAAAGGTGTTCCCACGGTCCGATTTTCCAGGAAAACAATGCATATCGATGTTAATGAAATGTAAATGGTAAGCTGCTACGTCACATACATCCCTTGTTGGACTTAGAGAATCAAATGGATGAAGATAATGAACTGCAGTAATTTTTCTGGCTAATACAAATCAATTCATTTTGACTATTGTTCTCTTAGATAAAATTGGTTTTCACGGAACATTATCCGTTGAATTGCCAACTGTAGCGAGAAGTAAAGAGGTCGCAATCTGATAAACTATTAATTCGCTTTTCCGTCAGATGACAAATAAAAACATGGACAGATGAATTTTTGTACTTAAACGCAATTTTTAGTTTGCAAAACTATCCGTCTATTATCAGTGTCAGATGCCACGTTTCATCGATACACACAAGATCAGTTATTACTGTAGAGGCGAAAATGCTCAAGTGTGTTCCAACCATATACTCACATTTCATGAACTAAACAATGCCAATTTTGTGGAGGCGAAACGCACAATTATGAAACTCTACCGATTGACGAGAAACACTGTGTACTCAGATTCGTTATGAGGAATGATTCGTCACGAAGCATATGGTCATCGGTAAACGTAAATTCGTAGTCAAAAATTATATACTGAGTGAGAAGTAATCGCCAGATAAAGGCTCTTTTTAGAGCAACCGTTGAATAGACTTGAATGCATTCCTTTTATTGTATTTAGTATTGTTATATTTATGTATTAATGCATATAAATAAATAACAGTAATTTTACTATATGTATCACTTATGCATTTTCAAAGAGAATATGGTTGGTGTATAATTGGTATTGCAGCCATCCTAGAGTACACTGTATGTAATCACGTTAACTAGTTCCATACTATTCTATAATTTTTCTTTCATACTTATTATTATAAATTTATAATGACTGGAAGTGTGATGTCGGTCTTGATAATCGACCATGATTTGTGAGTAGTCTATCTAGATCAGACAATACTTCGATCAACAAAATTCTTGTGTACGATGGCAAATAGTTGTGCTAAATGTGCAGTAACTGATTGACGCAAATAGATATTAAAATGAAATAAGTTTTTCAGTACTGCAGCATTATTACGATTATTCATACTGATCGAAAGTCATTGGCATTTACACTTCTCAAAGTTGGCATGCATGGTAAATTACTATTCGATAAATACTTTGTTATCAAACGAATTATGTATGGAAAAGGGCAGTTCGAGAGATCATAATGTAATTTTGATTGCGCGTGGCGAAACAGGAAAAACTAATACGTACATGTCAGTTGTTTTAGCAGGTAAAAAAAACTATGGATTGTTATTCAATGAACACGTGATAAAAGCATATGACTGTCTGAACAAAGTATTTATACAGAATATATATTTTATACAAATATCAAAACATTTTGGGGAAGGTTTCTGAAATGAACATTAACTTTTCTGACCGGGAAAGTCTAACTGTTTCCCAAGTAGTTAAATATAATGTTTAAGATTATTTCCCGTGAGCTCCAATGAAACTACTAAATATATCACAACAGGAAAGATTATTTGATGACTGTAACTAATGCAATTTACAACAGGGTTACAAATTATCACATAAAGGCCGTAGAAACATGTAAATAGGCAAGACCTGAGCTTCAGTCATCTACTAACAAACCCAAACATCTTGAATATTTAAGTAATAAATGACCATTCTATTGTGCAACATATATATTTCCGAATAAATGTGTTTTGATAAATTACTTACATCGTTAGGTCGTTTATTTGCTGCGCTAGGTGCAAATGTGGCTTCTTTGGCTTCACGTTGTAATAAAGCCGAGGTTGATGAATGTGAGGAAAAAAATGCAGAAGACCGAAATTTCTGTCAAAATGGAAATAATAATAATAAAACAATCAATCAAATATATTAATGTACTGCTATATTATTATTGTAATAACTACTACCACTATTACACAGTGATGCCAGTAATCAAATAAGTATATGAGTAAAAAAAGATAATTGTAGGTAACAGTTACTGATCAACAGATAGAGTAAAATCCACCGTCTAAACATTTTGTTCACATACTCAAAAACTGATCAAACGGGAAAATAACAAAAATAAGAAGTTAATAATCTGGTAAACATCTGAAGTAGAAATATTTTCCATTCATTATATTACGAAATTGTATATAATTAGTGTCCGTATTCGACTTTCAAATAAAGGGAGACCGATTAAACCCCAGCTCTATCTGTCAAGGTACTGAGTATTAAATAACATCGTTAGCCATTAGATTACAGATTTCAGTTGTAGGCTTATGAATAAAGTAATTAGTAACTGGTTATTAACTTGTGTAATAATAGTATGACAATATTGTACAGAAGACATCACACTATATCTATAAGAATTAATTAAAAAAGCTCCTCATACAACTTACCAGTGTAGAACCAGTTAAATATGGACTCATATCCAACTGTCTTGGGAATTTGAAATAATGCGAAAATTTAATAGGTATTTGTCGATCCCAATCAAAATCAAAACGCTTCAGATGTAAACACAGTACTGGAGGTAGTGAGTGAATAGATAAACGTTTTACTGCACGGCGTTTAACACAACAACGTTCACAATAATAAGCATTATCACCTTCAAGTACTTCACCTCGAACGAACTGATTTAAAGCTTCATGTAAATCGTTAGCTTTAACTGCTAAATTAATTGCACTGAATACTTCTTCACGATCGTAACTGAATTAGAAAATAGGTTGTGGATAAGGAATATACATTATTTACAGATTAAAGTATAGTAAGAACATTGTAAGTACTAACTAATGTATTCACTATACAAGGTTGATTTTGAAATGACGATTCCAGTCAATTTCATTTTAGTGTTGACAACCCCTAAAACAATATGACATCTGGATTTGAATAAGACTTCGATTATGTATGTGTGCGGCGAACAGCAAATTTACAGTAATAAAAAACAAAAATATCAAGAAACAAGGTCTACTAATTTTTTTCATTTGTCTAGAAATCTCTCTTTGTAAGCAGAATCACAGCTGTAACGGTTTTAAGAGTTTCAAGAAGCCCAAATTATCATTACCTATTTCAGAAAACCTCAGAAAAACATGAAGGACAATCCACTTATGTTCGTTCATAACTTTAGTAGTTTAAAATATAGACAAAGAAAGTTATTGTCCCATCCCACAGTATTGAATTGTTTTATGTTATTGTTTCAATGAACAATTTACAAATTCTCAGTAAGGTAGTTAACAAAAATTGTTATACTTTGTTTATTTTTAACATTACGAAATTTCAACCGATTTTGACAATCTTAAATAGAGTGGGATAAATAATTGTAAGTGAATCTACAGAATGTTTATATAGACTTTATTTATTTTTTCAATATCATGAAATATTTTCTCAAAATTAAGTTGTTATTTTTTTCTCTCACAGAAACTAAATGTCAAGCCATGAAACGTGAATTCATTAAGAATGAATACAAAGTAGTATATCGCATTTCATCTAAATATATAAGTTAGGTGTGTTTTCAAAAACTAACAACTGAAAAACAATTTGACGTATAGCCACTGAAAGTAAGATGTAATTAGACACTGAGTGTGGACAAATAGACACCCAGATTACTTACTATTAAATATGTCATTCTCTTCCTTACTAAGTGTAAAATGTTCATAATTGTATTAAATGAATTATGGTCTAGTCAATGCTCAGGTTCTCAATCTTTAATCCTGAATTTTGTATCTAGAATAGCATGATCCAGTTTGTGTGTACCACAACCATCGAGCAGCTAATGGCATTCAAAAATCTCCGGTCACTGGTATATTGTAGCAAACAAAGAATATTTTTATTCTCCACTTATATCGCAATTATAAATGATAAATTTAAGACACAATTGTTAGAATCATTCACTTACCGATGATCGCATTCATCACAAAATTTAGAGTCAAGAAATATACCTTGGTATAAAGTTTGGAAAAATGGTTCCTTTCTCATTTTCTACAGAAAATAAAAAAATACCGCTAGTGCTTATTTTGATAAAATATGAATAAAATCAAGTAATTGTACATAGTGGACAAAAATCATTTTCATTTAGATATCAAGCAGGTTTTATTATCAGTTATAATTTCAATTAAATCTTAGTAGGAAAGGTTGGTAGAGCTAAAATTGAGTACTCATGCTATATATAAAAAGTGTACGGAATTTCCAGGATTTCAATCAAATGACAACAAATTGTTTGGTGAGTTTATAAGGGATGTGTAAGATTAGATTGTAATACAGAAATTGGATCAAGCATGAGTACTTGAGTTATATTCTTTATATATTGTCCGATGAAATGATACATGTCATATTAAAAAAAACATACAGACTAGATCCAAGTGAGATTTATCAAAAGTAAACAAACTCTTTTTAAATAGATACGACCTTTAATCATCATAGAAATGAACAAAATATTCTAAGCTGTGATTGTTTAAAGTTCAACGAGAGTCCTAGATAGATATCGCCAATTTTATTGAATGAACACTACAAATTAGGTGAATGGTCAGATATCATTTGGAGCCATGAACGTAAATTGTCGAAGGTTTCCGAACTAACAAACAGTACGGACTTCATTTCACGATGTAAACTTTCTTTAAACTGAATCATCTTTATAAATTTCAATTTAGTAGGAATAATAATTAGTATCAGAAGTACTAACAGTTGAGCTATTATTCATTTATTACGTCACATGTCCAATGTGAAGTAAAGCATGGAGAATATACTATCAGATATAACTATTGTCGTGTTCTTTTATAAACGAAGTTCGCATACGTTTTACAATAGTTTTTTTGTTATAATTGTCTACTGTCTATGACATTCTATTTAGCGAACAGGGTTATATTTAATTAATCTTACTAAACAAAGATTTGTTGTGTATGTGTAAAATTTTTGTTAGTTGAACTTACAAACGTGTATTGGATATTTTATTTGAACTTGAATTCATATCATTTATTATTTATTATAAAATGATATTAATTCTTATACTATAACTGACTAGTTGACCTTTATTAAGTTCACAAAATTAGAAAGTAATTGTAACAGTGATTTCATGTACTGAATGACATTTGGGTTTGAAACTCAGTAATGGTCAGTCTCATATCTAGTGTGTTAAAGTGTCTACAAAAACATTAGAAACCAAGAAAATGGTAGAAACCCTAAATAATTCGAAAACTCAATCTAAAACGTACGAGTCAATCAGTGTGTGAAGATTTGGAACTACTGTGAACACATATGAGTTAACCATAGTGAAGACATTAATAGTAGAGAAAAGGATATTAAGGTTTTGTTGATTTACACATACATATACTAAGAGCGAGGAATGGATAAATTAAATAACTCATCACTAAACAGAATTAGTTCGACTGTCTGACGAAAGTTAACAAAACTCGTTTTATGTAAACTAACAGAGCGAAATTTAAAACATTTTGAACAAGATAAATAAAACCAATTATAATAGTAATAAGGAAATATTTAAAAGATAGTTACTTTTAATTCATCATCTAATTGGTCAATTAAAGCTTGAAAGAAGTCAAACGCATCTTGTTGTTCATATGGATTCACTTCAACGTCGGTTGACCATGGTCGAAAACTTTTCCAAAACCCAACTGGGTCATAATATTGTATTTGAGATTCAAGTAAGTGACCAAATAACTAGAAGTTGAGAAACGAAAGAACAATAAACTCACAACAAACCAATTGATATTTGTAGTGAAGCTGAACACAAGTGGGACAACCAAGTGCATTACAAAACATTACAGAATATAATGGTAAAATCTAAGAACCATATAGTAAATAATTCATTTCCGAAATATCCATTAATTGTCTCAGACTTTGTCGTTCCTTCGTTTCCATACCGACACCTCTCTGTTCTCATTCTCTTCGCTTCGATTTTCTTAAGCTTCTGCCCCCAGGCGTTCGACTTTCAACTGCCGATACATACTACTTACGTAGGTCGATATATATATATATATATAATATTGGTTGTCCCAATTTTCCCACTGATGTTTAGGACTGCAGTTGATCAGTCCCTTTTGGGATATAAATGGATATGTTTGGGACGAACGGTACTACGTTGAAGTCCGGGAGTTACCACCAACTCTGGGATCAAGGAGCATCCAGTTGATGCTTCCCTAATCGGACGAAACGCTCATTCTGAATCACACCACTAGTTACCATCCATCTCTGCTTAAAAAAATTGGAAGTTATATCAGTCTGAGAGGTTTGTAGAGATTGTTGAGTTTTCATGTTTACATCACGGATTGACTCTTAGATAACTATTGACAGTACACACTCATAATCCATCAACTAGTGATGCTGCGCAACCATTTTCCAGTATATTCACCTCCGATATATAATTCCGACCACATTAATAATAGATAAAGATGAAAATAATATCATTTGAAGAAAGAAAAGGTATAGTAAACAAAAATGAACAAATTGTCCAGTCATATCTTGTATTTAGAATCTTAGGGTAGAGATGAAATAGATTTTATAATATCGACCTGACTATATGCATACAAGTATATACATAATTACTTGTGAAAATGCGATACATTAACATGAGTGGTGGCTTTCAAAATGCACGAATGTTGGAAATTCCTTTATTAATGTTCAAATTACTTGATGATTTGATGTCGGCAAATACAAGTGTTTCGTGACGTAACTTTTCAATATGATAACTTCTTCATTTAAACAATGTCAACTAACTTTGAAATAAATTCTTAAAATTTATTTAGCATTATTTAAAATTTTCTTTTCTTAGGACTATAAATCGAAGTTATACGTATTCATGAAAAAAAAAAACGAAAAAAAACCACCTCAATATTTAACTGATGTTCGTTTACTTAACGAATAAAGTAAATTTAGTCTTAACGTTAAACAAATTTTAATGTTACACCATAAATTTTAACAATCTGATAAACAATGATTGCGTTAAATTGTTTAGTGATAACGTTATAACTTCCAGATATACTATTGTGGTATGGGTTACTTATATCCACATAAGTAGTATATAACTGCATTCAGACATAGAATGCATTTGAGTAGAGGATCTATAAAGAAAAAACGGGAACGGAATGGAACGCAATTCATATGAAAATGCATGAACAATGAAATTTGAGACAATGGACTGATATTTGCAAAATAACTCTTTACTATATGGTTCTCAAATTTTAGTGAGATGCTTTGTAATTTTAATTTCATGTCAAATACATTCGATTTTCCTCACTCGTGTTCTTGTTCAGTACACTATTATTTAACGTACTACATGATTAAGTTAATAATTTACAAAAACGATTTTATGATAGTGTTCAAATTAAGTAAATTAGTGTTTAATTTGTGTTATGTAAATATATATTCTTTTGAAAAAAAACAATCATTAGCTTTTGAGTTTACAGATCGTTCAATAACAGAAACAATAAAAAAGACCGTAGATTCGTAAAGAAGTTAATTACTGAATTGACAGAGTGATGATAAAATATAACTCAGCATTATATCAGTACAAATTAGATAAATATCTTCACAGTTGATTTACGTGTCATCTCCATATGAATATAACTAACTTTTTCCGTTGTAAGCTTACTGTTATTGGTAATTAACAACCTACTCAATAGTTAATTTATTTAAAATTATCAACTAAGACATTAATAATGATATTTACAACCATATCATATTATGAATTATTTTTCAACTGAAAATAACTTTTAAAAAGGTACATGTAATGATCGACTAATTATTCACATCACCAATAAGAACTTTCGTTCAAATTTGAATGAATAGTTTCACAATATTTTGGCGCCGAGTTAATGTAAGACATTAAAAAGGAAGAATGTATTTGTAAAATCTCAGCGAAAGAATTTGAAGTAAATCCAACGTTTCGCCTAGCAATCTGGTCCAAGATTTTTCAAGGAAAATTTACTTCAAATTCTTTCTCTGAGATTTTACAAATACATTCTTCCCTTTTAATATTCACACCACCGTTGAAATTAGGAAACAAAAACAAAGTTTGTTTCAAGTTAAACTTTAAAAAGAATTCAACACAGATTGTAAGTGAAGAATCGTCTTCTAAAACAAATCATTAGTGTAATAATAATGTTCGCTTTTAATTTCATCGACATGAAGTATGAATTAAATATGTTGATTGGACGGACTGAAATTTTTACTTCCGTAAGTATTTACCCAAACATCTTCCTCTATTTTTTTCCTATAAATTCAATTAGTAACTTATGTTATTGTTTAGACAAGTAATATAAAACAAATTATTGCCATGCTAAAAATGATAATGGCTGATAATTCAGAAATAACTAACCTAAACCTACATACAAATCCAGTAAATAAAATATCCTATTGGTATTAAGAGTATAATTACTGTATTTAATTACATTTTTCACAGTGATTACTTACAACAAAACAAATACATTGACTATATATCAATTTTTCACCATCGACGCAAATATCTTGAGAATTCTAATCACTACTTCTTGTTTGCACAAAAATTTCCTTGAAAAATATAAAATTTCATCTTCCCTTTCTGATTAATAAATTTATCATGTACTTTTTATGCTATAAACATTACAATTATAGTGTGTAAAGTAATGTACATTTGCACTGTGCGGTTTTATTGTTGATATATATGTCTACGTATCTAGAAACCTTAGCATGGTGCAATACTACATTAAATGATTTTTAAAAACTGAAGGGGATTAAGATACTAACAATTTTAAATAAATCTATGTACAATAACCCTATTCCATATAACCACAAGTATTCAGAGATAAAAAGTTGTTATCTGTTATTTCATAATTGAAATCAATCTTTAGCAGATCATCTTACAATTTATGTACAATGACTTATCCTAACCATTTTGGATAGAACGTTATTATATATTAATGATGGGATTACTTTAGCATAAAGTTGTTTTCACTCTAAATGAAATATTAAAACAATAAACAGTAAATAATGAAATTGCAGATACATCCAGCTGACAGTGCGTTTCAAATAAGATGAAATGTTCATCCTGGTTTCCATTGCTAGCTACCATCCATCTCTGATTAAAATATTTGTGACTAAATGTTATCGAGACTAATCAATTACAGTCTCAAACAATAATGGGAAGATTCAAACAATCAATATAAACGAAGAAATTATGTTTTTTTTTAAATACTCTACATTTTAAACTGACTTGTTGAGTTTGGAACAGAATATTTTTCTCATCGGTATCATCAGTATCTGTAATAGCTAATAATGTTTCCGGTACACCCGGTTGCATAAATAATTGTTGTAGAACTGAATTCATATAACATGTTGCACCACCATTACGTAAACCAACAAATCCACATTTCGCTCGTCCAGCTACAACAGGTTGAACATCCCAATGAACACCAGCCTATAATAATATGTGTATATAAATTAAGAATATTAAGCTATTAAAATTCAATGAAGAGAAATATATTCAAAGAAAAATCAAAAAGAATACAGACTTCTGTAAATCAATAAATTGATGATGGTTAGCAAAGGAATTTGACAAGACATAACATCGTCATTCGAATAAGCAATGAAGTGCATAAATCTTTGATTTCAGATCCCACTATTAACAAGAGATAATATTAAAGCACTGACAAAAAGATTTCATAACAGAAATAAAGGTTCTATAAATTTATTTTTGCTATAATTTTATGTCCGGCTTTTTATCACATGATTTACTCACCAGTCAAAATACGACTTATACAATCTTAACACTGCCAAACCAATGACGTTCAAGCGGTATGAGCAGTCTAGCGACCTTATTGGTCTTATGTCCTCCAAGCCCGTCCACTGGAGTCCAGAACACAATACCAGCTTCTGCAATATGAATCATATATTTCAAAAAGACTGTGCTTGTATATCAAACAAACAAATCGCACGCACCATAAGGTAGGAAATAATATTTGTACACAATAAAGCCAAAAAGTGGCTGTGAACGTGGGAGGCGTTAGTTAATAAACTGAGCATAATTTAGGGACAGCACGTCGTATAATAATAAATTATAGATCAAAATGAAGCTTATAATAAGGGGAATGTAAATATACATAATATAATTACTGAATAATTATACAATAAAAATATTCATAGAATATTAGTCCATTAATAGTCCTCGGAAGTTACCTGTAATTTAATCTTTACTAGGACACAATAATTTTCACAAATAATCCATCAATCAACAAAACGGAAATTCACAAGTTCAGTAGTAATTAATACATAACCTGGTATCCTATTTTACAATTTTCATTGCCTTATAAGATCCATACGCGACAAATGCTTCAACCAGTAAACATTGACAAATAAATAAACATGATAAACCTATGCAATATTGAACTCCAATCCCTGTTTATAATTATTATTTGATATTTACCTTTTGTAATATCCTTGGATAAACTTTTCAAATTTCTATTTCATTATCAAAAGTTCAATAAGAGTAATACATTATTGTATATTTATTTGTTTGGTTATTTTTAGTTACTGTATTCAATAAATTATTCTGATGTATAAATAATCATATTAAAAATTATTATTGTAACCCTACATATAAGTGGAATTGTGCAATTCTGCAAGGGCAATCACTGAAATGAAAACTATTCTCTGAAGTACTCATCTCATGGCTTATGTTTCGATGGACACTTGACATTTATTTATGACTCATTCAGTTAACTTATCTATGAATTAAGTAAAACGACTGTTTAAAACAATTAAAAATGTATACAAAAGATAGATTTTAGCTAGTAGTATAATCCAGGACAAGCGTTTTGACTAATTTTGAACTCAGCTGGGTGGGCCTGAATTTCAATCCAAATGTTCACTCCACAAGTCGAAGCCAGTATCTTTCACTCTGAATATAGACTAGGTTAATTACTGTGTATGTTGTTAATATCATTATAAGTGTTTGAATGATCCATTGTTACTACGGTAGAATGATTAATCTTTGATTATATAAATGAGATGCACATTGGATATACAATAGCAAATAATGATTAATCAAAAATCAGTCCTTAATATCAATAAGAATAGCGGACTTCATACTATTATCAACTTACTTTTCCTATTATATTTGGTATTGTATTAACTTTATGTTGTTTATGAAGCAATTCTTCTGTAGTAGATTTAAATGAACTATGATCAAGTACTATTTCAGATGATGTTTGAATTGAATTAGGCAATATCGAAGTATGTGTACCAATTTCAGAACTAATCTGATCTGATTTATGTGAATGGTGTAATAAAATTAGTAGATTAACAACCTAGTAAAAATAAAAAAGAGAAATTAAATTCTTGAAAAAGAAAATGTTGAGCACCAATGAGTTAAGTAAAAATCACAAACTGTCATAGATTTTGAAAATAAAAAATATTTATTAATCAATTCAATCGAGAATATTAAAAATGGGCAACGTATTCAATACAAAAAAAACAAATGATCTATTGTAAAACAGTTTGTCGGCATATTCTAAAGTAAACATGAGATTTCGGTCGTGTTTATAACTTTTGATTATTTGGTATGTTTAAATAGCCAGTAGTTCTCATAGTAAAAGATTTTCTAGTGATAAATTGGTTGAATATGCGTTCATTTCATAGAACCTATATAGTTTTATGGTCAAGCCGTAGTTATCACCAAATTCAAGTGAGAGATTATTTTGCTGCGGTAAGAGAACGAAATAATTTTTCATCATCATAGTTACGTAATAAAAGAACTAATCAGAGAGAAATTACTTATCGATGCGGACAAAACCAAACCAAACGGTTATTTTAATTCTCAAGTTATTTTAAATAGAATGTATATAAAATCATTATTAGATAGTTTACAGCCACTTTTCTAAACAGCAGTAATTTTTGTCAAAGTACCTACTCAAAATTAGTTAGTTTGCGTGACAATGACCAGCTACACTAAATGAAACACTTCACTCTTATAATATTTTTACAATGCACCTAGTGGACTTAAATAAAAATAAGTTCCTTGATTTAAAAAAAAAACAGGACTTATTGAATATAAAATAATTCGCCCAAAATACTAACTTTTCCAACATACTAATGATACCTATTGATTAAACAGAGATATTCCTTATCTACAATTATTGTTCATGTCACCTGGATACACTCTGTATACAACTTGAAAGACTAAACAGCAAGCTCTTTTTATCGAAGACGAGGTAACGCATGATTGCATTTAGTTATAATGCTTTCAGTAGTATACATTGTGTCCCAAGTTAGCGGTTTATTTTTTTACAATCTAACAAATAAGATTATATAAGCACCCTATATACTGATAAAGAAAATAACTGTTTGAGAAGAATCAAAGCAGTAATTACCTTTTCTAAACTTTGACAATCTATGCGACATATAAAACACAAAAATGACAATGATACTTCTTTAGTCATAGGTCGGAGGCTTTTAAAAACATCAAATTGTGGAAGGTTACGATTTTTAAATAAAATTGATAAACTTCTTCGTAAACATTCACGTTTAGAAAATTGTCCATTTGATGGAGCATACAGTGATAAATCTTTAACATTCTGATCTGAAAGTAAATATCTAGCTGCTGGGAATAAACATTCTACAATAAGATAATAAATAAAATCTCTTGTTATTTGTATACAATCAACTGCTAATTTTAACGCAACAGAAGAGTGAATAGGTATTCTGTTTTCTGTAAACTCTTTATTTAACATTGTCTGTGAATTAGTTTCTTCATTTTTCATATTAATTACAAGTATATCTGGATTTTTCATTGCTTTTAATAACTGTATCGGTGGTAATAAATGATTAATGTTAGTAATAAATCCATTTTTTAAATAATTCAATTTACTATTATTATTATTATTATTACTACGGTTATTTATTTTAGATGCTGGTTTATCTATAATTGGTGTTAACCCCCCATTGGATAATAAATGATGATTCAATGTACATTGGCAATGACTAGTGACACATGCTATTGATTGAGCACAAATTAAACGAACTGAATTCAAATGACCAGCTAGTAGACAATCATTGAGTATTTGATTTTCATAGTATTGCATATTTTTATCATCAAAATCCATCATTTTTTTAAACCATAGTAAATCATTCTACAAAAAAAAGTGTATTGTAAGAAGAAAGTAAGTATTCGAAAGAAAAAAAAAGTCACATTACTTACAAAATGATAACAATTTATTGAGAAATTTTTAAAAACAAGTTTATAAAACTAGATATTTTTTACAATTCTAACTACTAGATTTATTTACACAATCCAATATTGACCAATTAACAGAGACAAAAATCTGGTATTCCTTACGTTTCGAACAATAAACCGTCTTCATTCATTATACTACTGTGCAAACATACTGGCCTTCAATTCTTCAGTTATTACGACAAAACATACGAACAGTATTAGTTAAACGGTTAGCATCTTTCACGAATTGAATTGATCACAGTTCAAAATATGTGGGGAAAAAATATCAAATTCACAAGGAACAATTACTCACCTCCTATATTATCATTTTAATAACGGATAGTTGCTTCGTGCAAATTAAAATTTACTCCGGTTACATATTACAAATGATTTTATTTATAAACACCTTGAATAAAGTACGGTGATTTCGCTTATGGTCGCAAACAATTCTCAATTTATATTCAAGACACGTCTAACTAAATATGACTAAATTCCGTCATTTTCAAAATAAGGTTGAAACAAACAGTTTTGAAAGGTCGAAATCACCACACGCTTTTATACAATTGTGATAAATATTGCCTCTGTAAGAACCACCTTAATCACACAAAACTTTCATTGAATTTTTTCAGCGCATGTAAAGTGTATAAGTTGAATATGTTACTAGTCTATATTTAGACGTGAGGTGGTCGAGAGGAAACCATGGGCATAGGATTCACGCTACTTGGTACTCATCAGCAAGGTAAACCCGTAATCTTGAGGACACTGATGTTCTCGTGTCAACCAGATTCACATTCAGAGACATTACCACTGAGCTATTCAAGGGGTATCAGTTCCCTCAAGTTTACGCGTACACACCGCTGTTGAGTGCCACATAGCACCAAACCTAGGTCAAAGGTTTCCTGTCCACTACCTCTAGCCAGCATAGTGCACGCGCTGTCGAGTTACCTAGGCTAGTGGTCACATTAAAACTTGGTCGATAGAATTCGACCTGCAATAAGAAGGACCTGACAAAAATGTCATTGGTCAAACCAAGAGATCAATCAATCGTAAATTAGTCTGTATTGTTACCGAGGTGATTTTTAAACATTTTGTGTCCAACCAACAAGTTTTAGCCCACAGTTAGTTAGGTAAAGTGGATATATCAGGTAATGTATCTGTTTATTTAAATTTCACATAAAATTATATTAATAACTGTTTAGGATTAGAATAGACATTTTGTACACTAAACATTATTACCTCTAGTGCCTTACAAAATGTCTTTTTGGAAAGAAGCATGTGTAAAAACATATGGATGATAAACAACTAAGCCGTCAGTTTCACTACCATGCGACTCTATCATAAATCAATTTACACTACAGAAGCCAATTGTTCAACAACTGCACAATGTTTCTTTAAATTTACATACGAAATCAATGTTTCATCACGGCAATTACTTGTGTAAAAAAAACGTAGCCCACAATCAATTAAGTAAAGCTTACTTGAAGAATAGTGATATGATCAGTATTGAAATTTGTTTTAAGAATTTGAGGAGGTGTTTGACCGAGTAAAAAGCCACGTACACGAAAATATTCTGCACATTGGCTAATTAAAATATTTACTGCCGGTAGTGACATAATGTCTGGTTTCACATCAAAAAATGGTAACCGTGTATTGAGTATGGTTTTAAGAATCAGATTTAGTATTTCAGGATGACGAATATAACCGTGAAGTGAACAAATCGAAGAGTGAGATGTATGCGAAACAGATAATGAATTATTTCTGGTATAGCAAGAAGGACCAGTGAAAAGGAAAGGTGATACAAGAATGAACAACTGTTCCAGTTGACGAGCCATTTCATTTCTTATTCTAAAATAAATTAAAATAATAAAGAAATGATCATATCCACGTCCATATATACCCATAGTGCTCCATTTTATATGCATATTCTTACTAATCAACCAAAGTATCAAAAGCTCAATATACAAAACAAATAGTAAACTTGATATTGTCTTTAGTTCACTTGACTGATAAAAAGAAATAACAAATGATTAGAAGTAACTAAATAATTTGAAGGCAGAATGAACCACGATTCGAGAGGGAAATAAAATGACAACAGACTGTTATGTTTAAGGGGTCAAATAGAAAAATGATGTCATTCCATGCTTAATAGAACACTTTATTGACCAGCGTTTACAAACTGTTATTATCTGAAAAATTAAAATGAAAAACGTCAACCTTAATAGTTTAAAACTCCATAATTGTCCAATTTCAACAGTCAATCCAAAAGTTGTACAGTAAAATTATATGAAAAGCTTTTCGCCTTAAATATTATCAAAAAATTTCATAAATTAACAGTAAGTTGAATTTTTCTCTTTTAAATTACCTTGTAGATGAGGAGTACACTAACAGTTGTATAAACTTATTCTCCAAATTCGTTGACTTCAATAAAGCATCAACAAATATACATGGATAGGCTATGATACATTGAAAATATAATCGTATACACTGTACACTGATCTAAAGTAAAATAGAAAAACAGGATTGATATAAAAAGAAACGAAGAAAAATATGCAAGCAGTTAAAATGAGCTTGTTAAAAGACAAATTTATCTGATATACATATGTATGTATGGTATATGATTAACTTACTTCAACATCTTGAAATAGAATTTTTCGTCCAAAATAAGATATTTCTTCAATTACACCAGCAATACCTGATTTACTATCAACATGTGGTAAAAACATGTACGATTTAGGCATAGATAAATAGTAAAAATTATTGAGTAATTCTTGTGAGTGTTGTTTTGTAAATGAATTATTAGAATGAAGTAATTCAATGTCGACACCAGCATCGATTAATGCAGTATCTAATAAATTATTCAATAGATTGTATGCTAATATAGGAGTTATTTGATATACAACTGAATCAGATGGTATAGTATACATTGGTTCAGACATTATATTTTGATTGTATGACTTATGAACTAAAACGAAAACAACAGATAAATTAGTAGTGAACATTATTGAAAGAATAAAATAATACTTATGTAATGACACGTAGAATTGTTTTTAAAGGAATATTTATGTCCAATCTTTAGTGAAAAGTTTAGAAGTTTAGTTAGATAGTGATAAGTTGGGACAAAAGGGCAATTTCAGCTTTTTTTCGCTAAATTAGGGTGATATTTCATGATAATTTCTATTTACAATGTAACAGTTTGACATAGTATTTATTCTTAACGAAACATTTTATTGAATATAATATTAGTCCATTTCCAGTGTGACAATGAGTTTATTAGAAGTGTAATATTTTAGTCAACACGATATTCTAGTTCTGTTTTTCAGCGTATCATTGTTTTAGATGAATATATTTTGTAATAATTGAATGTGAATTTTGTTCAGTTTGACAAGTATGAACTTTCGTCCAGTGTGACAGTTACATTCATTGTATTATTCTGTGTGAACTTTGTACATGTTTTACAGTTATCCCATGTATCTTTACACTTATATGATGTTTATTAACTAGTCATCAATTGTAAAACCAATACATAAATTATTCTATCTGTTTCAACATCACATTTTGGAGAGTCAATAAATCTTCAATTGTATCTTTCTTTATATTTTCTCTTAGCGTAGTGGAAATTCAAATGATTCCCATTTCCAAGCATAAGCAGTAAGACCGCCGATACTACAATCAAACTAATTACTTTTTTAATTACTTTTTAGAGACACTAGTAAAGAACATTAAATAACATGTTTAGGTGTACTGTCGCTTTCCATGTTTTGTAAAAAAAATTATGGTTTTTTTCTCAGGGTACAATTACGTGTCGGTGAAGAGCAACAATTATTTAGGACACTATCACCAACCATAAATTCTAAGTAAATTTATTTCGTAATAAATTTAAATAGGGTATGAATAACAAAATTTACAGAAGAAAATGAATAATTCTTATTCGATGCTTCTTATCATCAAATTAATATGTTAGACATCAATAAGATTTTGCGTATCTTATTTTTTAATTGCAATTTTCAGTTACATTTCTAACATCAATTTCGAATTCACTGATTAAAGTATATCAGATCTTTTATTTACTACTTGCATAACTACTCATTAATTTTTAGGCAGTTTATAGTTGGTAAAGACCCATGAAAAAGAGTGAATTCGTTTGTTTTTATAAATGCTATTGAGTTTACTTTTTATTGAAATCATGAACCGAACAATTTTAGGCCACTACTGAAAACCTGGAAGCACGTTAAGCGGTTAGAATGCAGATTAATGAGCATCTGTGACATATATCCTAATACATTCAGTTGAAGGAGATTCATTATTTCCTTGATTGCTCCACTACATATATCGATTATTATTTGCTTAACATTGAGATTGATGACACAGTTGTTTCATCTTACGCCTATCTTTACTAAACAAAACATGCTATGTAAAGCAGTGAAATTTAGTTTAATTCGTATTAACAACAGTTCTGACTAACGGAAACGTTAACAAATAGGTAAATTACTGTGTAATTATCTACTGATTAATGCATGCGAGAGCCAGAAATAAAACCCAGTATACAAATTGAAAATATGTGAAGCCAAGTTAGAGAATGGTTAAAAGTTGAATGCCTTATATATAAAGTAATCTCTAGCTGATATCAACCAATGAAAGAAATACTAACACTTACCAGTTGTTGTGAATTCATCATTAT